TATGTATGCCATCTTTGGCTATATCTTTAGTATAATTATTTTTTGTTATACAGTGTAAACTCTTTATAACGATTTTTTTTATTGACAGTTTTCGTTATATTGAGACAAGAGAAAAAAAAATAACCAATTTCTAATTTTACTACTATAAATAGGTAAATTATTCTAAACACTTATATTTTGTCAACTATGACGTGTTTTGTGTTAATGCAATTAACAATAACAAAGGCGAGACGGCTGTTTATGACCTCAGGTGTCTTTCCTAGAAATTTCGGCACCGCAAAAAGTTAGTTTTGTAAGCTGATTATAAAAACAATTTCACTTAAGTATGTTGTTGATGTCTAAATATGAAAATATTTCTTCGTAATAGAGGGTTGCTGTTGCGTTATTAAGAGTGTATTATAGCGGTATAGAGCGTTTGTCGTTATATCGAATAACGTTATAACGAGTTTACACTGTATTTAATTTATGTTAGCTATAGGTTAACGAAACAATTAAAACCTTGCCGCTTTTACCGCTTAGCTAAGTTTTGCGATTCATTTTTATTTATATATAGATTTTATGACTCAGCCGTAGTTAGCTTTATGAGGTTATAAAGTTATTAATAAACAACTTTAATGTCTAATGAATGTTGGAGGCTCGGTTTGTTATGACTGCTTGCTGTTTGAAACGACAGGAAAAGTTCTTGTATAAACGTAGTAAACAGAAAGGTAAACGACCTATGTACCATATTTTATCATCAGCTGCCCTGCGATTCTGTAACTCACTTTTCGAACTCACACAGCGGTTTTCGCATCGGCGGTCGCTCTCAAATCAGTCGTGAAGCAGTCATTTTATGATTTGTCATTCTGATAAGGAGCTTGTAGTTTATTGTTTATCTAGCTGTGTGAGTTCGAAAAGTGAGTTACAGAATCGCAAGGCTGTATATATGTATTTTTGATATGGTTACGGTACGGTTTTCTTTTTATATTTTCTAGATAATTCCCCGACTATGTAGTCGTTGGAGGTTTTAAGTAACTTACGTAAATGGTAACCCGGATGATTAAACACTACTACCTATTTCTTTTAACAACTTTTTATTTTAATTCGGGTCGGTTAGAGGAATAATGAAGTATATTTCGAGTCAATTATTAAAAAATCGGAATCGGTTTAAATAATACTCATATTTCAAAAACATTGATATTAAAAAAGTTGGGTTTGTAAAACAACTGTTTGGCTAGGAATTGAATCCAAAGACGTACGTTATTTATGTTAACAACTCAGACGCGGAGGTTGGTAAGATCTAAAAACCGTCGATATATTCGAAGATATGTCAAATAGAAGACATATCTTATAAATACACTCTCAAAAAACAAAAATCATAATAATAACGGTCGGTTTTATGTTATGAAATGTTCTATAATATGAAATAATATCGCTCTCCACAAGCCATGGGCCACGTAGTGCACGTACCACAACTATAAAGCGTGCCATAACAATCATACTTGATTATGCATATTATGTGAAATGAAATGGCGGCACAGTAAAATCTGTCTCGCTAATCTGTGGCAAGCGGAAGCAAATAAACATTGTTTAAAATTCTAAATTGGAACATAATTATAACGTGATAAATAATGGCGGGCGAGTTGTCAATTGAATTATGGAATTTTCTAGAGAAAAAATATACGTACTTAATTAGACGTACTTACCTACTTAATAAAAAAAAGTGCGTGCGTACAAAGTACACATGTCAGAAGTGAAACTTCTTTGTAAATTAATTGTTAGTAAGGTAAACGACCCAATAGATGATAATGTATCAGTATATGATCACTCCATGTATTTGTATATCTATATTCACACTGTTTACACAGTGTATACGTGCTAATGATAATATAGATTTAAAAAATCTGCGTTTACTGCACAAGACGTTATGCGACAGAATTGCCATCTAAAGTTCTAATATGTAACTACTAAACCAATACATCAACCAATAGCGTGTATATTTTCTTGACCTCCCTAACTCTCTCTCTCAATCTTTCCCTCTATAGCTCTCTCCCACCTCTCGCTCCATGGTGCGTGATGCGATGTTCGCTCCATCTCACTCTCTCTCTCTCGATCTTTCTCACTTGCTTGCTCCTACTCTCGCTCCATGGCTATTTGCTTCATACTACGCCCTTTCTCACTCTCTCTCAATCAGCCTCAATCGCTCACTCCCTTTTCTTCGACAAAAACGCTGCACATCTTCGTGAAGCTAATATTATTATTATTGCGTTACATCTGTAAAAATTTCGCGCGCCTAAAGAAGTTTCACATAAAAAATATGAGCATTTTCCACCTTATAAACCCAGTTCATCCTTCACGCATCGAAACGGCGGTCCTCTTAATACATAAGGCCATTTTAGTTTAAGTGAATTATAAAACAAGGCTTCGTCATTCATAAAAATGCAAATCAGCGTCTTCCTTTCCATAAGTGCCATTCTAAGAATAGGGTGCAGTGGGTGGGTGCAGTATGTGTGGTCATTGTATCATAAAACTAAACGTGGGACTAATCACTTGGTTAATTCAATTGTTTCCAACTGTAACCAAATTCGTAGCGTCTTTTTAAACTTTCGTTAGGATTTTTGACGAATTTACGTTAAAATTATTGAAATTAAACCGCCCAGTTAATATCGACTTACAATAATTTATGTTATTTGTGATTAAATATTACAAAAGATTGTAAGTCAAGATACATTAGATTATTATGCGACCACACAACTATCAAATTTAAATAACAGTATCAAACAAAATTGTCACCGTTACACTTGCTCGTAGAGAAGGAAAATCGTGAGTAAACCGCTTTAGACCCAAAAAGCCGACAGCGTATGTCCGGCACGGAATCACCTACTTGCCTATTAGAAAAAAAATATCTCCAAACATATACAGAAATCTGAGGCCAAACCCAAGGGTTGTAGCGTCACTAGTTTTTCTAAACAATAAAAAACAGAAAGCAATACATGGTCATGTACATTCCGCAGTTTAGAAATATTCTACGGCACTCATCTGAATCTTATATTAACAAACTCAAATTCAAAATTACTTTACTCATATGGGTAACCAAGTACACGTATGAACGTCAACAGAAAAGATGTTAAATTGATTCTAAATTTACATTTACTACCAACGATGAACTGGCAAGGAACTCTCCGCTTTTGATCGCCAAGTTTTGAGTCATACAAATTGTCTGTAAGGCAGAGCAGCCATAAATATTTGAACTGGAGCAAATCAATCCCAAGGATTAGGATCATTTAAATAATCGTCAAATTTATAAAAAGCTTTATTAATTTATTTACGTTTAACAAACGATACTGGTTACGTAAAATATAATGGTTTTATTTATCCAAATCCTTTTGACATATATTATACAGAAATAAATATTTAAGTAAACTCGTATATATATGTATATATACAATTTTATTACTCTAATATGCAACCACTGTCCGGCCACCTCCTCTTACTTTGTCCATGATGTTTCCATGGGATTTTACGTGAAATAGATCTTAATATAATAATTATTATGAAATGATTCTCTGTAGTATATTATCATTAGTATTTATGTTTGTTAACAAAGTCGAATTAAGGTCAGATGACCAGACCAAACGTAATTCGATCATCGATCGGTCTGAAGTATTGTTATAGATTAACTTAAGAAACAATATCTTGCGCGTATTTCAATACGTATCTCAGGTCGCAAACTAGTCTTTAGGGGGCATACTGCCAAATCAAATAATATACTTAGTTATTAGTTATTACATTATATTTTTTAAGGTTTTTAAGTATTGCTTTAGGGGCCTCATAGCCTAGCGGTCTTATTAAGTGGCAGATAGGTGAGGGGTACCTGGTTCGATTCCCGGTTCGAGGGCAAGTTATAATTTAATTTAAATTTGTTCTCGGCTTTTGGGAGGGTTGTGCGGTACTGCTTAAACTGTACATTGAGGACACGGTCAAATTTCTAAAGACAAGCACGAATTATAAAAAATCCTATACTTGACGCTGGCTAATGCACAAATCGTGTCAGAGCCATAAAAAAAAAGTATTACTTTTATATTCTATAATTTGTATATGCAAATTATGTACCGATGTTATAATCTTCGATCGAATCAAACCACTTCTCTACTCAAAACGAGGTAAGAGATGGAGTTTGGAGAGTTTAATGAAAAATATTAGAAATAAAATTGATATAGATACTTAGTTACTGATTTATTTATATATATTTATTTATTATCACTTATCTCTCTCTCTCTCTCTTTATCTCCCAGATGTGTTCGAGAATAACATTAATCTTTCGTTTTAAATAAAGGAAAGATTAATGTTATTCTCGAACATATTTGCCTTTTAGAAAAATCAAATGATCACGAAACAGATACAGAAATCTGAGGCTCAAACCTAAAAGGTTGTAGAACCACTGATTTTTATTAGTTTGACCAATACTTGCGTTGAGTGGTCAAGTTGGTGTCAAGTTTCATTTTAATGTAAAAATTTCAACTCGTCATTGTATAACATCAAGGAAATGAAAAATGCGTAAAACATCCCTTGTTTAATACTGGGTGGCGCCGGTGTCATGTTACACTTACCCTTTGTATAAAAGCGTTTGCTACTTCTAATATGAACATTCGTAAGCTCAGATTACAGTCACGAAGACTGTATACATTATCACATTAAAAAAAACCTTTTTAAAAAATTGTAAGTACAAATATTTTAACATCAAAAAAATTATTAAAAACTATATAATGTTTTTTTATAGATGTGTAGATAGTGAAAACATTGCGTTTGTGTCTGTTTAAGGGCCACGTCGGGAAACGTTTACGAATAAAATTTTAATATAAATATAAAAATAGTACAAAATTGTTTCCTCATATGGTTCGATTACGACAGAAACAAAATTTGTAGTAACATTGTTGTCTTGCTGGGTCGCTCACAAGAAGCCCTTTAAAACCGTAATTAATTTCCACTTCACAAAATCTATTCGTTTTCAGTTATCCAAGATGTCCGTGGTAAAGTCGGCACATTTGGCCGTGATCACAGTATTCTTGCTGGTGGATACATGTTATTCAGCGCCACCCGCTTTCAAATTGTGCGGCAGACAACTTGTGGAGACCATGGAAGGTCTATGCAAGGAGTACAATAGCCCTCCTTGGGACGTACCTACAGGTAAGAAATTTTGTCAATATATTTGTAGAAGTGCTAATTTTATAATTCTAATTCTAATTCTCATAACGAGAGGTAACAGAAAAAGAGTAATAAGAATTACGTTATTTAATGTGTTATAAGGTGATCTTATGAGTAAGAGAATGAGCTTCAGTCGAAACTACCACAAAGTTATACATATATATTCATAATTTGGTTTGCAATAAATTTATCTTTTTCAACTACAGATTTTTCCCTAAATAAACATTACACATAATTTTATTTATTAAAAAAAGGGATGCCGGGGATAACTTTAAAACTAAATCTAGAAAGATCCACCATATGCTTTGTACTTAATTACTAAAACTAACACAATATAATAAAAAAAACTAATAATAAACAAAAAAAAGTAAATAAAACTGTATTTAAGAGTTACGTATGAAGTATCTCGTAGCAGGCTCTTTGGGTAATATTCAACAACAGTATGAGTTCAATATGTCAAAAACTATCAGATTTTGTCATTCGGGTTATACTCGTAGTTATAATTTGCAGTTTGCAAGTCACGACACTGTAGGGCCCTTTGAGCCAATCCAAAAATAGCAGTTCAAACCGTGGTCGTAGCACCTTTTTTTTAAGAGGAGAAATTTTTGAATTACCGCTCCGTTGCACTGCATTGGCGTTGGTAGTGTGGGCTTGAGCTTCCGGAAGACGGATACCCGAACTAAAATTACTGTACCCCATCTATTTATTTATTTATTTATTACAGAAATACATATATTATCCTTACAGACTATGCACGATAATATCGAGAAAAATTTAATAAATATATAATATTAAACACATACTTAATATACACAATATCGCTACTGTGAATTCACTCTGCGAACATATAAATAAGTTGATAGTGTCGGAGACAGCATTCAGTAGGCGCAACGTCTTGGATAACGGGGATCTGTGCAACAGACTGGTCCTTGCCCTTGGTAAATCGCATACATCCAGTGAAGTATAATAGCCACGAGCAAAGCCTTATGCCCTGTGATCGAGGTCGAAGCCCCTCAAGGTGCACCTCTCTCTAACCGCAAACCGGTAGTCGGTAAAACTATTGCAAATCGCTTTAAAAAATGACGGTATATCAAGCAGAACAAATTGTACCTACACTATTATTTCAAATGAACAAGAACTTCAATGTTTTTGACAATTGCTTTTAGCATTTTTACTTATTTACTGGTGATATTCTTTTTACTTAATTGCATTTTTTAGTTTTTATTTTTCATGTATCCTTTATAAGTTTAGTTTGTTTTTGCTCCTGTTTAGTTTTTTTTCTTAATTACTATATGTAATAATGTATTTTTGCACTTTCTGCCTACCTTATCTAATTAAATTTTTTTTCCTCACAGTGGTTGCCTGGAAGAGATCGCTCGAAAGCGATAAGGCCGCCAGTTGCCCTCCTTTTCATTTAATTATGTTCAATTTTTATATTGTATATATTATACAATATAAAAATATATAGTGTATATTATAGAAAGTCAAAAACTAAATTTGTATGAAAATTTGTCGACACGAACTGTCACTTTCGTTTGTCTGTCATGTTCTGTCTGTCAGTTAGTTCGCGCTAAGTCTCATTTCTTAATGTCACCCTAAAATTTACCCTTTTTGGCTAGTTTGTCATTAATTTATTCGTTCTATTCAGGAGATCTTGTTCTCTTTATAGAGAGAAAAATTACGAAGAGAATGTTAGTAAGAGGCATTTATCCGCTTGGTAACAGTATCTCTTATCATTACGCAAAAGATAAGGTTATGAGTTCAATAAGGGCAGGGCTTTCTAGACATGAGAATAGATGTAAACATTAATACATTGCATTGTCTGCGGCTTTGACGTGAGACTGATTGGTATAAAAATAAACGATATCAATAAAGTATTTTAATTACCTAATAATCTGTCTTATATATAGTCTGTACTGCAGTTATAAATAGCATTGATAACTGTTATTATTTGTTTATTGACACTATTTTTGATTAAGGAGATTAAAAAAAACATGGCAACTCATTTAAAGTTCTAGAGTCAACCGAACTTCTTTTGTTTATTACCAAATTTTTTTGCTTGTTGATCTGTGAACTGGACCATAAATATTTATATTTAGATCCGTATTGGTAAAGAATTAATTACCTAATATGAAGGCAACGTTTGTATAATAAAAATTATATAATTATTTATATTAGTTTTTATCTCTTAATCGCGACCTCTTGATTGTTTACAACTTAATATAGGAAAAACAAGCTTAACGCCTCCCTATTAATATTATTATCAATCACGAAACAGTTTCGTGCTATGTTATATAAACCAAGGACATCTTGGGAGCGTAACATCGTGGGAATTTCCATTCAGCATAAAACAATAAAAAACACTTGTTTCTACTGTATTCGCACGCAATGGCCATTCGAAATTCAAAATTGACCATAGCTATTAGAATGGGAGAAGTCATAATTCAAATTAAGCAATTATGGCAAGTGTGAAAGGCGCCATTTTAATGTGGAACATATCATAGATTCAATGGGTGTTGAAGTCAACAGTTCTAATATAAATAATGCATCACAGAACACTTAAATCAGAAAATTAAACAGTTTTAAAATTGATTACATAGAATAAAACTGTAGGTACCCTAATTTTAACTAAAAGGGACTTCCTTTAAGTAAGATAATAGTCTGAAATAAGACCATCCCATAAAATTAATTCCTCATATATCCAAAATTATTCCAAAGTTATCCGTTACTAGGCGAGATGATGATTCGAAGCCAACAAAAACGATAATAAAATAATCGGTTTACATATCACTTTTCAAGCGTCAAGTTACCACAGAAACGTGTTGTACCGAGAAGAAACGTCAAAATCGAGTGTTAAATCCAGACATAACAAAGACGTCAACTTATTTAAAAAAATATTTTCAGTAATTGAACAACCTACAGGCGCAGTCAGACGGAAAAGGCAAATGGGTATAGCGGATCGATGTTGCGTCTCGTCTTGTCGGGCAACTGAGCTTCTACAATACTGCTCCGTAATAAAGTAAGTTTGGCGATTTGAATAATTTATCTCTTTTTGTTATAAGAACAAAGATCTGTTTAGAATTAAGCACGCAAATCATAAAATCAGTACATATTTTTAATTCAAAATAAATGAAGTTATTGTATGGTTAGCCGATATACTTTTTTAAGTTTACTAATGACAAACAAAGTGACTTAAAAGAATGCGTAATAAATAATATTTTATCGTTCTCTGTACAAATATGTTGTATTATATAATAAATATGTTTATTAATTAATATAATTATTTTAGTAGGTATAATTCTACTTCTCGTCACCTTAAATAACATAGTAATTAGAAATGGCTAACTTATTCTAAGTTAATTACTGATATCCACAGATTAGAGTCACCACTGGAGCTGACGGATGAGCACTTGATCGAGGATCGCTCCGCTGAGGCTTCGAGTGGCGTGCCAGCAGCCGTGGTAGCGAAGGAGTCATCAGAGCGGCGCTCGGTACGAGGTCGCAGTCGCGGGTACGCAAAGCGAGGCCGCTGTTCGTGTCGGCGCAAACGCGCGGGCCGACGACGTTCCTTGCTCATGGGTAACATGGTGTGTTTCATCTTTGCCGTACACTTGTTCTCTTTAGAAACTGTTGGCACTGATATAAATATACAGTTTTAATAATACTTATTGCCAAAAAGTTTATAAGGCTTTTAAATAGGTGTACAGAATTATGATAACTGACTTCAATGTAAGAGGTTTAGAATTCGACGCGTATAGCCCTGCCGTACGTGGGTCGATTTAATTGAAAGAAATGATTCGCCTTTACCCAAGATAGTTTTCAGGATATTAACTGAAATATTTTAAGAAATTCGCGACGACGTGCAGCAATAATTCGCTTTCTTACATATCAGTGATTGCAGTTGTAGTATCGTATTAATTTATTATGTTTTAAAGATTATTTTACTTTACAGTCTTATTCATAAACTAGAAACTTCAAATATTAAAATAATTCTATTTTTAAAAGTTGCCAAAGTGAATTGGAGGCATACAATTAATGAATAAGGCGGTAAGACTTACATAATGGTTTTTTGACATTTGACATAATAAACAATGTAAGCCAAAGAGAACAAGTATTCGGCTACTAACACTCATACTAATGCTTGGGTATGTTAACTAACAGTTTCATGTAACCAACTGTATTCATCTTTCTGCTCTTGAAAAAATATTGGATAAAAGTGCGAACTTATTCTATAGTCCAGAGAACTAAGTGCGATAATTCTCTTACATTCTAAAATCATTTAAGACAGTGATCAACTTAGGCTTGTCTGTGGAATGCCTTGTCTACGCAAATTAATGTACACTTAAAAATTACGCAGTCAAGGTCAGCGAGGCTTCTTATATCCCTTTACTTCGTTGTACTGGTGTAGACCAAGGCATATAGAGTACGTTCGCGTACAGACTTACTCCTAAACCATAAAATGTCAAAATGGGAATACTCCTTGCACGCACTGATAAAATTCCTTTAAAAATATAAAACAGGAGGTCATTAAGCTTTCATTACAAATCATAAACCATTATTTATGTAGGAAATGCTCAGCTTCAATTATTTCAATTTATGTTATCAATAGGATTGTTGACATGGCACAAAAAGTTTATTTTTACTCGTTATCCATTTGGCGGGTCATTGATAAATTTTACCTCGACCTCTCGAACTCTATATTCAAACATTTTTAGCGTTGATATGTTATCGTTTGTTTATTTCAGAAACTCGAAAGGAATGCCGCGCGCGCTGCTCCCGTGGTAGGCACCGTCTCGCCCCTACTGACTTGGGGAAGAACTTTAAACACTGATTTACCGTCAGCAGAAAGAGACCGCTATGCATATATTGCGGTGTATTCGTAAAACATTCGAAAAATAATGAACTTTTTGATGACTACAGCCCCTAGTCTGGTACGACCAATCAGTATAATTAGCCTAAAAAATTGTTGATAAATACAACTTAAAATAGCCAATGAATTAGGAATATAGTTCCCTTATTGTCGAGATTACATCAATAACTGAACAAAGGTGATCTTAAAAAACTGTTGCGCTCCATTCTACGTATTTACAATTTTTATCCTTAATACACGTAATGCAACTAATGACGTCATTAGTTGCGTTGTTCTCTATGGTTTCATTCATGATATTTTGATTTTTCACCACGCAATAAACTACCCTTAACAATAATCGTTAAAGAAATTTGACGCTTCTTTGCCTCGTGTGGTCAGCATCCACTAGTCACCACACTTCAATAATCAATTGTATTTCAATGTAGTTAGAGCAAAATGCAGATGGTATGAGAAGAAATGGTGTAATACCTTTACAATAGCAGACTTGGGGCCGTCTATACTTGTATTATCGATGCCATAATAAATCTATTTCTGAAACTTTCAGTAAACTAGGTTATTAGATAATAACGTGTGCATGTAGTACGTAGAAAAATCTAGGATTTATAAGTTATTGTAGCTTGAAAACAAGTTCCTTCCTAGAAATGTGTTCAAGTATTAATTAATCTAAAATTTAAGATAATCAAATTATGATAATCCTGATATTTAACTACGAACTAGACTTACACCATTATTTGAAGTAAGTACAACATAGCCATATGCATAATCCGGAGATCCTACTTTCGATTCCCGGGCTTGTTTCGGATTCGGCATAGTGGCTAGCACTAACTTAGCTGGGAAAAAGGAGACGTAGAAAGACCACAGTAATAACAGCAAATATTACTTTTATTTAATTTTTGTTCAATCCGGCAAACTCAACAATGTTTAGTCTAGTTCAGTCAAATCAGATAGATTATTTTGTACTTTTGAAATGTTCATTAGATAGGCGATTTACGTACATAAAAACATGCCACACGCTCATAATATAAGAATAATAATGTAAATATTCATAAATGCATTGTAATAACTCTAAAACTATGTAACACCTACCACATAAGTTTCAAAGATCTCTTAAGCATCTGTGATAATCCAATTGATAAAGTAATTCATTAACTTATGAACTTATAGTAATATCAAGTTTTTAGATTAACATGGTTCTGTGTTTGCGTCGCATGTCCGGGTATAATGATATGTATATTTGAGGTGACTGATTAAACAAATTCTGTTTTTACATAAATTCTTTTTCTTCCCAGTTTAAATCAAATAAAATTTTAAATTTTTTTGCTTATTTTTATTTAAATTAAACCTAATAAAATAAATAATCTTACAATATTTACATCAATTCTTCACTATCACATGGTTTTCTAGTTTTCTTTAATTCAATATCTGTATCCTTGGTTTTATTAAACATGTATTTACTCAAAATTAAATATTTTGCCAGTAAAATACCACCAATAATCACAGCTAGTCATGCGGCAGTACCATCACTGTCATTTTTATTGGAACTAGAGTCATTATTTGATGATTTCTGATTTGATAATTTTCTTAAAGGTAGCACTTGAAACTTGAGAGAACTGCCTTTTTGTCTCTTTTGAACTAGATTACCATTTGATTGAAGGTTTTTTTCAATTGTTGAGTATATTTTGTCCTGGAAGTTATTCAAAAAGTTATAGCTAATAAATAAATATATAATTAATTAAGAGGTTAATTTATCAATCTTTAGTTACTTTCACATCACATTTAATAGCTGCTTGGATCTAAGACTTGTGACAGAAAACTTAATTCTCAGTAAGATGCCAAGTTAGTAAAGGTTAAATTCTATTTATAGCGTCTTTAAAAAGTAAAGACTGTTTATTAGTATGATTAGTTATCTTATGAATAGTGAAATCTTAAAAAGTAAACTAAAGAGCAACGCTTATTCACTGTGGGATTAGAAAAACACAAAAGCACCCCTGTACAGTAAAATGATCAAAAAAATATTATTATATTTTAATAATACTTACATAGTTTAAGTTCGTTTCGTTTTCCTCTCCAGATATCACAACTCTTACTTCAAATTGTTTTTCTAGCAATTTCCCAATTTTCTTAATTCTAGTCATCAAGTCATGTTCTGCTATTCGTGATGAGAGTGTTAAAAGTTTATTTCCTTTAATAAAATTATTCTCTTTGGCTTGTTGTTTCTGTTTCCTTTTAGATATTTCTTCCTCATGATACTCAGCATTTGTCATCAATCTGATAATAAAGGGACATTGTGTTTTTTCAACTTTATATTTTAGGTTTAAGGTAAAATTTACAATTATTATACCTGTATGCAATAAGGTATATAATAATTCTGTGCAGAATAACATTAAAAATACATCCATATTATATATACAGGACTCCTGTATAATGGGTGTAACTCCAAATGAAAACTTATTTCTAATTTTCAATTTACCAAAATATTTTCTATCATAACACCTAATAAATATATGACATGAATAAAACTATATGACGAAAAAAAGAACTAAGCCTCAATATTATCTATTTAATTGAAAAATTTTACTAAGTAATTTAACGTCTTACTTATAAACAGGTCTCCGTGTTTTAGCATCTTCATCCTGAATTTTGACTAATTTTAATTCTCTTCTAGTGGAAATATTTTGAGCACTTTTGAGGTCGGTTATGCTTACCGAATCATCAGTTCCAATAAGAGTAATTCTAGCCTCAAATACCTTTTTCTTCGGAATATCTTTACCGCCAGCAGATATTTTCATAGTAATCGGTCGACAATCAAGGAACTTTGTTATTCGTGTTAGCGTTAAAAAAGATATCATTTTGATATTTTTTTATTAAAATTACAATTTAGTCAAATTAAATTTAAAATCCAAAACACAGTTTATTAATTACTTGACAAATGACAATTGACAACATCGTAGTCTAATCTTCATTATATTGACGTTTCAACTTTTAACGTTTTAGCTTTAAATGTCAACAAATTGGTTAAAATGTCAAACAATGTTTAACATGCTGCGGAACATGTTTTGTTTTTTTATATTTCTTTCTTATTGGTCTCCAACTGTTAGTTGCTCAATAATGAACATTTATTAAAACTTAGCTTATTGGAATTGCTAGGAACAAAAAAAGTTGTATTAATTTCACTTCAAAACTTGACAGTGAACGGCATAGATTTTATGAATACGTCATAAACACATCAATACAGTCTGACGTTTGACATGGGTTTTGACATTAAATTTTAATTTTAGTCAACATTGGTGTCTGCTAGGGTTCAAACGTACGATAATTATCGTACATTTGCGATAATTTCATAACTACGTACGATGTACGATGGTACAGACTATGAGAGATTGTACGATAATTTCAGTCTGATAAAAAATTTGATGATTACACAAAGCCCAATAACAAAAATGTCAGTGCCATCTATGGCTTATTTTTCTATTAGGAACTTATGCTGTCACAAGGAACTAAGAGATGAACAAAGCGTTAATGTACAAACACAAAAAGCACAGAATGCACAGCCAAAAATCACAATGGTGAGCAATTGGAAGTCTTCGATAACATTTAATACCTAAGAATTTTAAGATAAAAAAATATGCGAGTTTACGGACAAAGGTATATATAGAGCGAACACCATATTGTTCAACGAGAAAATATTGCGTATTTGTTCCTCCTTACGAAAGAGATCAATTTGAAAAAAAAGTTTACAAGATTTAAACTAAAACGTGCAACATTTATTTATCATAGATTTTTAAAGTATTTAGCCATTTTCTGACTGTACGAAATTTATCGATATGATAAAACAAATTACGGCCCAAAGTGTAGTTCTTCTTGTTTTGACAGCCGAGAAGGCAAAATGGTTGGTGAATTAAATACAAATCTAAATTTATTTAAGTAATCGTTAGTGTTTTTGATATTGTAACTAAATATAAACTTGTTTCTACTTTTCAGTCGGCGCACAAGACATTTATTATTAAGCGAAAACTCGCTAAAAAGCTAAAACAAAATCGACCCATTCCACAATGGGTTAGAATGCGTACAGGAAATACCATTCGGTGAGTACAAACTAAATGTGTTTTTTAATCATTTACATCTCAAACGATTTAAGTATTTCATATTTCATTACTAAATTTATTTTGCTAACATTAGAATTTGTTGTCGGTTGAAAGCACCTAACTTTAGCTACAATTTTGTATTTACTTATTGACTTAATTGAATTATTTTAAATTTAGGTAACAATTTTTATGTACTACATCTTGTGTAGATCAAATACTTAAACCCCGTCCAAGCAGATTTTTTTGTTTTTGCTCTAAATCATACTGATAAATTGTGTAAGTTGAAGCTGTTTAAATATCATTTAACCAGATCAACATTATTAAGTTAAATAGCGAAGACCCAATGTAATTAATTAGACATAAGACTACTACTACTTACTAGTATAGTTAATGCATTATGAACTTTAATAGTAGACTATTAATTGAAACTTACTTTTTAGGGTTATACAAGTCTGTTTTTATTCAAATAGTAATAATGTTTAATTTAAATTTTCATTTCTACTAAGCAATTGCTTTGTAACTAACATATTATTTTATACCTAAAAAGTATTTCTGATAAATTTATTTGACAAGTAATATTTGATTATTATTTTATAATTGCAATGCTTTTTTGGCATTACTTTAACATATTATCTATTGCATTGAGAAATACTTATATAATAGATGCTTCTTCATAGGCCTGTAAAGGCCATTGTTTGTGTGATAATTACTAGTGCTGATTAGTGTCCTCTGTGCCTATCATAAAACAAATATTTTGTGGAAACTTTTTCCCAGGACCAGATCAGATTGTAAATAGGTGCAATTGACACAATTGCTAATCCATTGAGGTGAATGGAATACTTAGCAGCATAAATACTTAAACTTTACTTCATATTTACAGGTACAACGCTAAGAGGCGTCACTGGAGAAGGACAAAGTTGAAGCTGTAAGCCTTCTCAATAGCTGTTAAGATAATAAAACTGGCATAAACTATATAGTATTTTTACTTAAGTCCAACCAAAGATCTTTCATATATTAAATAATCGGCATATAGGGATTAGAATTGCTATTATCATGATGTTAATATATGAGTCTAGTTTATTGCACATTAGATTGAATTTCACTAAAGAGTTGTTATAATACACACATTCAGTTATTGCAACATTTTAGATTGACATAATATATTCTGGAATATGTTGATAGGTTTCTTGGCATGTTTGAACCAGTAAGGCACTTCTCCAGAAGTATTCACACTTCATAAATACTAAAAACAGCAGATTTAAATAAGCTTAATATATAAATACCTACATAAGCTATATATATAAGAGTACTGTTGTAACTTTCCATAGTTAATTAACCAAAAAAGGAATTTTTTACACATTGTAGTTCCAAATTGTGCATTGCTCTGTTTGGGTGATAAAAAAGAAATATTAAAGTACTCAATTCATTTATTTCTTATTCAAATAAATACAAAACAGTAGCATGATTTCCAAGGCTGTACTTAAATAGTGTAAATTATCACAATTGTTAATACTGGAATGTACTCAGGAGACCTAATCCCATGAGAAAAGAAGTCTGGGTCAAGTTGCATTTTTATCATCAGGCTTGTTTTCTTTGATATTCTCCTCTTGAGTCAACTTAGCTTGCATTTTCATTAATTCTTCTAGCAACAAGTCTGTATCCAGCACCTCACCACTTCCAGTTTGCTGCAATATTTTAAAGATTATTAATCCATGTACATAGATATTATTTCTTTTTTCTCTCCCTCGCTATAAGTAATATTTAGTTGTCTTTATTAATTCTAAGTTACATGGATATTTTAGGTTGATTGGAAAAGATTTCTTAGAGATATGGAATCCTGTTGCACTAAAATTTTATTTTTGTTTAATCTAAGTGGAAATAAAAAAGATAATGCAAAAGAGTACTTGAATTTTGATCTGGACTTTAAAACTGTAATTCTTACAGAAATATATCGATTTTTGACGTTGTCACGTCAAAAATATACTTCTTTTTAGATATTACCTGTTGTGCGCTGACTGATCTAGCCATAAGCCTCTGTAGGTATTTGTCTTTGCGATGTTGTTCCCTTACACTGCGAAGCCTGTTAAAGTCTTCATCGACATCACCAGCGTCGACTTCATCCACTAAAACCATTAAATTACATTTTCGTTATTATATTTCTAAATTCATTTGGGTGGTTGCAGTCTAGTAATACATAAGAAGGTAGCGGTAAGATTCAGAATCGAGACTTAGCACGATGTAAATAACCCCCCGTATGTTAAAATTCGATTTATTTTTGACGTACGACTCACACTGTCAAACATTTCATAGACGGGCGGGCGTATGTATGAAAGAATGGCCCTATTTCATTATCTTTTAATTAAACTTTAGGGGAATTGTTAAAATCCACCTCAGTTCATTGAGGTGTAAAAAAAAGTAACTGGAGCAAAATCTACCTAAGTTGTTTCATATTGAACGTCGAATTATAAAAATACAAATAGGGTATACACCTCGGATGAGAAACATAATATTAAAAATAAACTCACACAATGTTTGACTGCCAGCAGCACTGAGCGATGGCCCAACATCGCTATCAAGTCTAGGCCGTTCCATATCTGGGAAGGAAGTCGCAGACAGACTCTTGGCTGGACTTTTGGTCCCTTCATTTGATTCCTCTCTCGCCCATTGAGATGGCGCTGATGTTGATAAACGACTGTCAGCTGAAAAGGTATTTTTAAATAGAAGAATAACAGGTAAAGTTCATTAATAAAACTGCAAACTATTATTTTTTTTTAAAGACAATTCACACCAATTGACCTAGTCCCATGCTAAGCTGGTGAAGCTTGTGTTATGGGTACTAGGCAACGGATATACATACATATTATAGATAGATAGACATATAAATACATATTTAAACACCCAAGACCTAAGCACAACACCAAATGCTCATCACATCGATGTTCGTCTCAGCCGGGGATCGAACCCGGGACCCATGGATTCGCAGTCTTCTAGGGGTACTAACCACTAGACCAATGAGCCGTCACTATTGCTAATCAAGTAGTCACGTGAGAAATGTACAATGTTTTTAACAACGCTATGAAGAACCAAATTTTCCGCGGGACATTGGCGTAACAATAGGGTGGCAGGGCTAGCAAAATGCCACGGGCCCCCGACCCAAGAGGGCCGCTACCCAAGAGATATTATGTTCTATAGATGAATGTGAAGTCTCCAATACGCATTGGGCTAGCGTAGGGACTACAGACCATTCCCTCTCGCCTAAAATAGGAGGCCTATAGCCATAAGTGGGATATACAACGTGTAATTCAGTACTCTAAAAATATCAAAGTTTATTAAAATTATACTGAGTACAACGTGACGATTTTTACTGATAGGGCCCCATCAAAAGAATTTGCCACTGGCCCTAGATGGTATAGTTACGACACTGCCGCGTGACACGATTTCGCTAATGTATGAAAATGGTTACTTTACCAAGATTGAGCCGTGTATAGTGTATACCCATACTATTTAAAATAAAGCAAATGTGTGACGGCAGAGCGACGTCATTCAACAAATGTGTCACATTTTATGTATTTAGTATCATCATCATTAAATGAACAACATTACATTTTAAAACGAAGTATTATCCTCATAACTGCTGTGTCATTAAGGAAAAGCAATTTTCGCTTCAATAATGTGTCACGGAAACGATTTCCCTCCACTGACATCTACTACAATAATAAATGACTACTATGTTTAACAGAGCAGTAAAATATTCGGAGTTTTATTAGCGTAGGTATACTTAAAATCTTGTTAAGTATTATCAGGCGAACCAAAACCTAGAGGTGAGTCCTATTCCCGAGGTAAGATTATACGTGGTAGAACTATTGCTACTAAAAATATGCCAAATTTAGTATTGAAAAAAAAGTTATGATCATTCAAAAACACATTTTTATATATTATTACATGGTATGGAGACGTTGTGGCCGACTTTCTATTTGATAAATTTTCTAGCCAAACCACCTCTATTTTTAATTTTTTTACGCCATTTTAGTGCTCATATTATATATCTACCGGCAAACGTTGTTTTGCCATGTATACGTATTTTTTTAGTTGAAAAAAAAATAACTATCTACTATAATAAAAAAATAGGGGTTGTTGGGAGAGGGGTCACCCCTTAAATTAATAATAATTAAGGGTTGTATGTATTTTTGTATGATGTATCATAAAAAAATAAAAACGAAAAGTTTTGTCTAAAAAATAAAAATTTAGGGGTGGGACCACCCTTAACATTTAGGAGGATGAAAAATAGATGTTGTCCGATTCTCAGACTTACTGAATATGCATTAAAAATTTCATAAGAATCGGTCGAGCCGTTTCGGAGGAGTATGGGAACGAACATTGTGACACGAGAATTTTATATATTAGATAATATAAAAAACTAATTCTGTCTGATGAGCTACAGCGCATCACGTGATTCATACGTCATTCACGTGTGAATTTTTTTTTATTAAGCCAATTTTTTGAAATAATTTTAAACAATAAGTTTATGTTTTTTAGACATAAAATCATAAAAATGAAAACCTAAATAGAGAGTCGAGTCAAATGTCAAGTTGATTTTAAATTGTGGAATCCAAAGTGTAAAACTAAAAAGTCAAAGTATTTTTTTATTACATTAATTCGCAACTTAAGCCAAAAAGGGAAAAAAGAAAGGGGAAAAAAGAAAAGGGGGTAAAATTCCCCCCAAGGGTTGGCAAAAACTGGGGGGGGGAAGGAAAGGGGGGGTATACGTCTCCCTAGCTTGGCAAAAACTTTTGAAATAGGTTTATGTTACACAGGGCCGCGCCGCCCATGTGTGGGGAAGTGTGCGGTGCACACGGGCGCTGGGGGGCGGTACACATAAGGGCGCCGCCACCGAAATTATTTATACTACACTACAATATTCTTACGTACGTTTGAAGCTTTCATTTTTACGCTTTAGGTTTTAGTTTACATTAATTACTCGAGAGCTTAGGCGAATCAAAAGAAAGGCCGCTGACCGCCGTGGGCGGGCGGGAGTTTTTTGAGTGTGTTTATGTCTTATGATTTCAATAATATGCCGACATACCTTGATAAAATCCAAAATGAACTATTTTTTATACTGGTAACCAAATTCAACATTTTATTTTAAATTTATGTCGAATTAATAAATATTTTTCAATAATACTGGATTGTATTACTTACGTTTCACACGAAGAGCAAATTAGTATGATAATAAGATTTGTCAACTTTAACATGTAGACTAGAAGTTAAGAAAGAGAGCATTTCCTAGCTCAATAAGACTTTCTGCATCGTAGATACAATGGCGCTAAGGGGAAAAACGTCATTTATAATAGAAAAACTAAAAGTCAATTAATTGTATTTTAATTAAAGGGGGCAAGGCTATGATAATGGCTCAAATATGCGCGGTAAGAATATTGGAGGGGAAAAAAATCCCCCCCTTTTTTTTTTTTTGCTTTTTTAATATTGTGCAAGAACTATATAAATATTTTTCCCTCTACTTAAAAGATGGGATTTATTACAAAGATATGTCATAAATCTGACCTTAAAAACGGTTACATTAAAATAACATCATAAATAAACCTAGTAACAATTTAATTCAGCGTATATTTTTACGGGAATTGGGCAGCGGACGTTTTACCTATTTAAGTGGATTAAACAAGAAAAATCTTCAGTCAATTAAAATACATTGAACTTGAAGCAAAAGGCCTTGAATATAGGAGGAGTTCCCTAAAGGCCTGCAACACACCCGCTAGGTCTATGAGATTAATGATGCCATTTTTTCTCCCTAACCCGTTTTTTTTCCCCCTATAGAAAAAGGGGGGCCTTCTTTGTTTTCCCCCCCGGCGCTGCCGGGGTCGGCGCGGCCCTGATGTTACAATAATACTTTTTTCTCTTTTTATAAGTCCTTCATATAGATTGCTCTATGTTGCTCCTTGTCTATTTCCCGCCAACTTTGTTTTAAGAACGCACATCACACCTAGAACCTGCTTAGCACAGAGCACGTATCACTAAGATAACATTTCCAACCGTTATACAAAGGCTGCCGACTTCGCCAAATGTGAAAATAACGCGTGAAAAGGGTCGATGGCCTTGGTCAAATGACTTAATATACAGTATACAATGAATCGTAAAAATATTATTTCTCGTTGCCAATTGTTATTTGGCTATCTTATTTTGTAACTGATGCTTTTAATTAATTTTTCGACTTAAATAACATAAACATGAACTTTTTGTAGAACAATATCTACAAAACAGACGCATTACACACTTAAAACGTACCTTGTTCTTTAAAAGAAAAAAAAATTGAATTGAATTTTTATTTTTTTATTATTGTTATTTTGTGTTTCTGTGTGTGTGTTTTGTTAGTAATAAATGTTATGTCTATGTCTAATAAACGATAGACTTATGTAAAATGCCGATCTTACTGCTAAGAACAGTCAGACACCTCGGACGAAGATTGGCTTAAAGGAATAAAAAAATATATATGCATTATATTTTTGCGTTTGTCGTAATTATATTTAAAAAATCAGATTTTTTTCTTCAAGGATACCGTTAAAGATTTATCAAATTAAAATATTCTTATTTTAAGAGAAATATCTAATGTACTCTGGCATTTATTTCTAAACACCAAAGTTGCACAAAGTTCTCTCCTGTTAGAGCGTTGACCCATTTATCTTTCAACCCGAAACATTTATGTTTTCAGAATCGATCCTTTCCTTCAGATTAATTCGAAACCTTCAGATTATACGTAGCATTGACTATATTATTAGTAATGTATTGAGCAACATCCTTACAAAGAAATATTAACTCGTAATTTTCCTATTTCATATACAACACACTAGGTCAGTGTAAAGGTCATCACGTTTAGAAATTATTAGATATACAATCTAGTATATAATACAAACAATAACAGGTTACTTACTTGGACCATTGCTAGTGTTCCTTGAAGGCACGGTGACGGGATTACTTGGTGTCGGTGGCCCTTGGGCGAAAAGACTCATCGCCGTCGGCCTGAAAAAGAAATATAATAAAGAAAAATATGTCGCTTTCCATAAAGAGCGCACGCCCTTCAGGCGATTGCACACCCCGCGACGGCCCAAGCCGGCGTTCGAGTCTCGCAGGAGACGCTTATGGGCTAGTCGAGGGAAAAGGCCCAGTCCGGCCGAGCTACGCTTGCTAACAGCTACCAAGGCCCTTAAGGCCAATGGCGAGTACAATATTAAAAAGAGACAGCTTTTCAACTACGACCTGGAATAAGTGATACCTGTATCTTATGTTCCATAATAAACATATTTTTTGTATCATCTTTTTGTTGGTACAGGGGCAAACGGGAAGGCTCATCTGGTGTTAAGTGATACATGGACACTCTAAATACCAGATGGCTTGCGAGACATTGCCGGCCTTTATAGAATTGGTCATCTTCCCGTACGATTTATCTTTGATGTTTATTTCATAGTACATTTTTTTAACACAAAGAAATACTATATTCGTATATATATTCGGTCAATGTCACGGATTGTGCGTTTGCACGAAAATTAGTTCAATTATCGAGACGTGTATTTGTAATATAAAATCACGAATAGTTTTTTATACGAAGGCCAGGCCATTTGCTTTAATAACCACGGGAGTAAGGAAATGATATTGTTATCTGATTACTTGCCTAATAAAACAGTTAATGAAGGAATGGACAAGTTGGACAGTCCCATGAAACATCATTTCTATTAATTCAAAAAATAAAATAAATCAGTGAAGCTACAACCTCTTTAGGTCTGGGCCTCAGACTTTTGCATCTATTTCATGATCATTTTTCAATCTAATAGGAAAGTAGGCGATCAGCCTCCTGTGCGTGACACACGCCGTCGACTTTTTGGGTCTAAGGCAAGCCGGTTTCCTCACGAAGTTTCAAGCTTGTGACACGAGAATTGTATATATTAGATGAATATATATCTATTTTTCTTCGTGTTTATGTTTGCCAAGTGCTTAACATTAATCTTGTATTTTTGAAGTTATACTTCTTTAGGCGCGTTATGAAAAATTGATGACGATGCGCGCGCACCGTGACACAAAATAATACCGTGACATAATTTAAAAACAGCATTCGAATAATAATAGAACTTATGTTACACTTAATGTCAGAGAATAATAATAAATATTTATTTATTTAATTTTTCAAATGTAAACTGAACTTTATTGACTATAATGACTCCATTTCCAGTCTTTGATTATTTAATTGTAATTAATTATTTGCATGCAATCAAAAACTATTTTTAATAATGCCAAAGAAGTATAACTTCTTACGCGCTTGCATAAGTAGACGCACCTTTTTTTTTTCTTGTACCAATGTGCGAGTGTGCCGAGCGCTGGCAAGTTGGCGACAAATGAAGCGATAGACAACTATGGTAGTAAATAATTAAATAAAAAATTGAATATTTTAAAACATGGTAATTGTACTAGTACTATTGAACATGTACTTCATACACATGAAGGCAAACAACATTAAACGCAACCTCTATAAATAGAAAAATAGAGACAATCACTATAATTGTTAATTGTATCACGCAAAAGCACGAAACAAAAAACGTTTCAAATAATATAGTTGTTGAAGTTTTTAGATTTTTTTTTTTTTAAGTTAAAGTTTTTATTGAACACTCGGTTTGAGACATAAATTCAAATATTCGTTTACAATTTCAATATTTGGTTTAGTTTGTTGGTTTGGTTCTAGGCCTTATATCAATGGTATAGTCGAGATTTTTTTTAATGTTGTAAAGAAGAATATGAAAAATTACCTCCTATCCACCCATATATATAACCACCCAAGAAATCTTCATTCCCCTTAATTTGGGGGTAACACCCAATTCGACTTAAGGTCCTTCAAGAATAGAGCGTTAGAATTCTTAAAAGGTTGGCAACGCACTTGCGAGCTTGATCGCTCCCTTAACCATTAGTTTCTAGTATGAAGTAATTCCGAATAGGTGTGCAAAAAAGGGTCTAATAATTTGTAAACTATATTGAGATTACGATACAACATAGATTATTATCAGTCCAAAGCAGTCGTCCTTAGCTGAACAAGTTTTTACTTCTATCCAAGCCTCGCCCACTGGCTTCCACTTCCCGTATCCGTTCTACAAATTTATACTTCTAACTATACCAAAGCAAAATCTTTTTTGTATGTGTTTCATATCAATGTATGAATTCAATACTTCAAGCGAGTTAATTATTACGACCGATGATTTTGTCCCATTTGGAAGTAAGCTCTATTTGACTCCAGACAGGCAGAAAGAATTTATCAAATAGCATCAACTCCCAGCTTGCTTACTTTGCTGTTATAAATAAACGAGCATAGCTTCCACGGCGATAAGAACTTGGAGAAACTGACACAGAAGGCAAAAGATCACGTGGCCGTTTACCAACCACATGGACAGATCAAGTGAAAGAGTCACCGTCTTCAAAACTGTACACTGTTATAAGAGAGGCGCTGGACAGAAACCGGTGGCAACAGATAATCCGCCAGATTCTTCCTTAACGCTCAGACATGAACAACCGATTAAAAAGAGAGCTTTCATGGCCCCGGAGCGGAAGCTGTCGGGAGTGTAAACCAGTAGGAACAATAAAACAGCCATTTCGAGTAAGAGCTATTGTGTCGCGCGATATCACGATACGATCCCACTTGCATACAAAGTACGCCAGCATTGGTATCACTATAAGTTACATCTAGAGATTATTATTGCGTTTTCTCCATATCTATTCCAAGATTTTCTCATCGAAGTTTAAGTCGATTTCAATTAATAATTGCAGTTTTAAGATATTTGCGTTATTGGCTCCAAATTGCTGTTTACATTTTTGTGCCTATTTTATTTTAAAAATTGTTGGTAGTTTAAGGTGTTATATATTATGTTATATATCATAATTATTGTTTAGCATCTATGCTGTAAATAAGTTAAAATAAACGTTTCTGATTGCTCAAACGTGATGACGGAGCGGTGTGGTTTTTTTAATATAACAAACGCAAGGAGCTCATTTGATGTTTACAGATACCATGGACACTCACATTGCCGGAAGGCTCGCTAGTGCGTTGCCGACCTTTAATAATTGGTACGTAAACGTGAAAGTAGTTGTGTAACTAATATATTTATTAAAACAAATCTTATCTGTAAATCAATTTAAGGATAACTTGTATATATTATTTTAAATTCAAATTCAAAATAATTTTTCATGTATTATTCTGTAACATTGTACTCCGTAGAATTCTGACATTTAATAAGTGTGCTACTAAAAAAGCTCTCCACCGAAGAAGGGACAAATTTGACTTATTTGAGGACTATTAAAAATGCAACGTATTTTTTATGTTTTACCTACAAAAAGGTCAAAATCTAAATATTTACTAACTCAAGTGACATAATACAAAAATAACAAATATTTCAATATCAATATTATCGAATTAACTTTAATTAATTTATTTTATTCTTTAGCCGGCATCACTGCCTACTAATTCCAGGTTTAGTAAACCTTTTAAAAAAAATGTTATCTTTACTTATGCGTTTTTTACTGTTTGTGACGAAAAGGAACGTAATTACCACTCGCAGTTAAACCACTTTGAATGTGGAGCACCGCACTTAATAAAATGGATACCTTAACTAACAATAAAATGTATGTATAGACTCAGATGTTCAGACTCGTATTGAAATTGAAAAATGTGCCCGGCCAAAAAGGTTTGCCATCACTGACATGTCAAAAAATCTTAGCTGAATTCTACGGAATTAAAAATCAGAGTATAGGTAACACAATGTATACTTATGAACGTCAAAAAAGAAATACATATATATTAAATACTTCTAATTTTACATTTACTGCCAGTTCTCAAATCAAGGTCGTAGAACGGAAAAGAAGAACTGGCAATAAACCCTCCGCCACTCTTTTCTATATATCTTGTATTTGTGATATATATGTCCGGTTTCCTTATTGGTAAACTTAAATATCGCGTGATGTGACAGCCATGCACCGCATTTTTTTCAAATTATAGTCTTGAAGATTATAAGGATATTTAATTTAGAAAACAAATCAATACAAGATATATAATTACATATTACATATAATTACATATCCGTCCCGTTCAAGGACCTGAATGGAAAAAAAGCAGGTGAGGTAGTCTGCACGCAATATCCCGTCGCGTCAGAGACATCAGGCGATGTATTGCTGCACGCCAATGTCCCATCAAAAATGACATCATGTAACACATGTACAGCAGTTTCTGAACTGTTCAAGTATGGGGGAGAGGGGGGTCTTTGATTTTCTGTTTTGGTGACTACGTCAACAGTAATTATTTACTATTTTACAGATATTACCCCCTCATTGTCTATGCTTGAAAACGAAATGCATTCTGGAGGGTTCCTATAAAAAATTAATACGTTTATGTACTATTACTTTCGAGAGCTTTGCTTACTTTGCTGACAAGAGGAAGGGGGAATAAATTGCAGTAAATCTGCTTACGTAATACTTGAACGCCCTGTAGGTTGTAGGTAGGTACAGGTAAGGGTTCTCCTGTCCTTACTTTTACAAATTGTCATATTATTAATATGCAATTCTGCCTAAATCATGCATTTGGCATAATTCAATCGATTTTTTCTTCTACCGATATGATTAATATATATTTTATTTAATCCACATTAAAAATATTTGAAGCTTTTAAGGCTATTTTATGAAAATTAACTAAAAATCTATGTCAATTTATTTTTATGAAGAGTTTATTGATGTTGACAAAACATGTGTATTATTAATGGTTTAAAAACTTTTCACACAATTCTTTACCCTGTTATTGATGGAATGTCCAAAAACCGATATTTTTTCCTTAAAGGATGTTTACTATGAACCAAAACATCAAACTCCATATGACGTATATGTAAAAAATACAGTTATGGATTTATTTAATTTCTACACATTTTAACCGACAGAGAGGGAAGGTATCACAATATATCGTTACGATTCTGACCTTTGATCTTCTTATGGCTTCTAAGCACGCGTACTGAACTTCGTAATGTATGTTAGGGGCCGTTCAAGTATCACGTTAGCATATTTACTTATACTCCCCCCTCCCTCTCTCTCTCATGTCAGCAAAATTAGACAAAGCTATCAAAAATAATAGTACATAAACGTATTAATTTTTGTAGGAATTAACAAAAACTTTTTCTGTCGAAAACAATACTCTTTTCACCTTAACTGTTTATATACGGCTCGAGTATCTTAAATACATCAGAATACAACTATGCTATCTATATAACTAGCAGACCGGCCAAGCGTTGCTGTGGCTAAGGTTTTAGTTATATTACATAGTAGTAACCTATTCAAGGGAAATGGTAGGAGAACACCAGTCATGGGCACCACCATGCTTTTTTGGTGGTTATGGCATTAAATTGTAGTTTATGCGAAACGTTGGTACGTACTTTTAACACAGTGCCATCTGTCAGAATTGTGACTATCAATAATTAACAAACAATTTGCAATAAAATAATATTGCGGGTATAAATTGAGATGTAAGCTATCCTATCTTTTAAGTTAGATCAAACGCAAGTGTAAATTTGATTGAAATCGTAGTGTTAGGGGTCCATAGCGGACAAACAACATGACACGTAATTTATATATATTAAGGTTAGTACATTAAATATGCTCAATACAATTGACGTAAGTGTAATCAGTTGGTAATCGCTAAACCAAGGCTGCCTTATGACTACGAGTATGTTAACACATGTAAAATAAATCAGTGACGCTACAATCTTTTCAGGTCTGGACTTCAGCTTGCTGCATCTGTTTCATAATCATTTGCCAATCTAATTGGCAAGTATCAGCCTACTGTGCCTGACACGCTATCGACTTTTTGTGTCTAAGGTAAGCCGGTTTCCTCACGATGTTTTCCTTCACCGTTCGAGCGAACGTTAAATACGCACCCAGAAAGTTCATTGGTGAACTGCCGGGGATCGCACCTACGACCTCAGGGATAGGAGTAGCTCGCTGAAGCCAGTAAGGCCAACAATATGTGTTAAATACCTGTATTAAATCTTTAAAGCATTTCATTGAACACTGACAGCTGAAAATATTTTTTTCATTCCATCAAAAAAAATCGTGAGGTAATCAGCATGAAGAATACCAGACGTTTTGGATAAAGACCCAAACGGACCACGTCTGTCTACAGAAGTATGATCCCACTTGCCGATGGTTGCTGGACTCAGTTTCCGCACTTATACTCATAATCGGTCCGTTGTACTTAAATCCCACTTGCCTATTAGAACAAATTATCACGAAACATAGTGCGATACCCAGACCGCAATGATTACTCAATAGACTTACCGGGTCTCCGGTCGCTTCCCCATACTAGTGATTGTGGCCTGTTCATCCACTTCTTCAATAACATCATTCGCTATCTTCATACTTCCGCTCATGGCGGCTGCTGGTTTGTTCAACGTTGGATTGCTTGCTGATACCATGAACCTGCCAACTGAAACCAGAACACAGCTTAGGGAGCGTTCAAGTATTACATAAAGAATTTTGGGTGGGGGGTCTTAGTATAAAAATAGTGTCTCTATACTCTGATTTTTAATGTCGTAGAATTCTGACAGCTATCGTGTTTTGATATGTCAGTGATGGCACACCTTTTTGGCCGGGCAAATTTTTCAATTCCAATACGAGTCTGCACATTTGAGTCTTTACATACATTTTTTTTAGTTAGTGTACCCATTTTATTAAGTCCGGTGCTCTACATTAAAAGTGGTTTAACGGCGAGTGGTAATTACGTTCTTTTTCATTACAAACAGTAAAAACGCTAAAGATAACATTTTATTTTTTTAAAAAGGTTTACTAAACCTGGAATTAGTAGGCAGTGATCGCAGCTAAAGAATAAAATAAAGTAATTAAAGTTAATTCGATATATTGTTCGTGATATTGAAATATTTGATACTTGAGTAAGTCAATATTTAGATTTACCTTTTTGTAGGTAAAACATAAAAAATACGTAGCATTTTTATTATTGCCCTGAAATAAGTCAAATTTGTCCCTTTTTCGGTGGAGAACTTTTTTAAAAGCAACACTCATGAAATGTCAGAATTCTACGGAATTAAAAATCTGAGTATAACGTACTCGGAGAACATAGATTAAAAACGCGATTAGAGAAGTTCATTTTTTTAATTTCGAACAAAGCAGAAACTAAAAATCCGCAAGTTTAGTATAAAAATAATGTTTCAAGCGTACTCGGAGAACAAAGATAACAAACGCGATTAGAAAACGTTATTTTTGAATTTCGAACAAAACAGAATCATGAAAATTCTCGCTCGATTTTATCTAATTTACACGCCATAAATATGTAACAACTGTTATCTATGTCTCACGACTCATTATTCAAGTGTCGTCTTACAATCGTAATTGTTGCACACGATTTCATCCTGATTCACCTTGAAGCTATTTTGTGTTAAACAAAGTCATTGCTTTTTACAATAGTTACTTCTATATTTTTATTTTGTTAGGTACTAGCTGACCCGGCAAACGTCGTTTTGCCATGTATTTTATTTCTAGGAAACATTTTTTTAGTTCAATAAAAATAACTATCTACTGTAATAAAAAATAGGGGATGATCGTAGAGAAAAAAATAAAAACAAAATGTTTTGTCTAAAAATAAAAATTTAGGGGTTTAACATTTAAGGGGATGAAAAATAGATGTTGTCCGATTCTCAGATTACTGAATATGCATAAAAAATTCATAAAAATCGGTCAAGCTGTTTCGGAGGAGTATGGGAACGAACATTGTGACACGAGAATTTTATATATTAGAAGATATTTAATTAGAGCCTCATTGGTCTTGTGGTTGGGAAGTGGCATAAGGTCTCAGAATCATGGGTTCAAATCCAGGGTAGCGCCGATGGAACATTCATCCTAAATTACAGTTACATGTTTAGAGAGCTAATTAGAACAGATCTCATCATAAAGAATAAAATGAATAAATTCCCAATATTTTATTCTCAATTATTAAAGATACTTAAAAATACATACGCGATCATTTTAAATTTTTCATTTTAATTGACTTTGACAATCACCTGACATTTCACACTGCCACAGATTATCCATCCACCTTTATAAATCAAAATCATACAAATAGTTCAACTTACCACCATCAGTCTGTGACGGCACCACCGTTCTTTGATCGTCTTTTGAGAACAGCCGTTTAAGCATAGACGTAACTGAATTTGTTCTTGTCATTGGCTGCTGAAGGGACACCATGGAATTACTGGATCCCATGGAGTTCCTCTCATCTCTCTTGCCCCGTTTACTTCCTCTTGTGACCATAAAGTGAATGCCGGATTGCGCGTCATCACTCATTTGTAATTGCTGTATAGATATAAATTTAATATATATTTTTTCAAAGCATTTTTTAAAATTTGTCTTTGCTTTAGACTACTACACATTTATTAATTACACCAGTATGGTTGACGTAGAGTGATTTCAACAAACAGTGTTGGCCTAGTGGCTTCTTCGTAGGTTCGATCCCCGACTGTACACCAATGGACTTTCTGTCTATGTGCGCATTTAACATTCGCTCGAACGGTGAAGGAAAACATCGTGAGGATAACGACTTGCCTTAGATCCAAAAAGTCGACGGCGTGTGACAGGAGGCTGATCACCTACTTGCGTGTTCAATTGACAAATGATCATGAAACAGATACAGAGAAATCTGAGTCGCAGACCTAAAATGGATTTCGTTTTAATGACTGCCTGTTATAGAAACAACAACTGGAAAGTATCCCGATTTAGTAATTTTAACAATTCCAATCCAATTATAATTAAATCGCTTATAAGATTATTGTCTTAAGCCCGAACCCAATAATCAATCCACAATCTCAGATTGTTTTCAATTAGACCGTGACAGTCGATCGATCTCCTATCTACATCCCAATAACCAAACCCTACGAAAACAATCCATTTTATAAAATGATATGACGGATAAAATGCTCTTTGTCGTTCCATTTTACCGAGTTTTCACTCATATTTGATAATCAATGTAAACCAAATAAAGTAAATAAAACCGTACAAATAACATTAAAATATACATGTGTATGTTTAAAACATAACAAATAGTTTTTTTAATTATTTAAAAAACTGGTGTAAGTTAATATCTGTTAAAATAATTAACTGTTGAAATCGAGCTTTCGTCAACTGTCATTTTCATACAAAGGTCTATCCACAGACACCGATAGGACCTCCCATAGATAGCTTGTATTGACAGATGGCTATTACAATCCGTCGATTGGTTGGCACACTTGTAACAACATTTGAATTAGGATTTCTATCTCAGATGGTGGGTTATGGATTGAGATAGGTTATAGGGTTCGGGCGTTAACCTGTTTCATATATATATGTGTAGCACACACGACACTCTCTCTACATCAACTTTAGTATTTGCCATAAACGGTTCAGTACTCTTTGTCTAACATACTTAAACAAATGACAATCACAAATCGTTAAACGATTTTGTATAAGACGATAATCTGTGTAATTATAACATCAATTGAGAAAATAATACAACTCACAAACTAAATATAAACACAGCATCAGCAAAAGAGATTAATACAACTTCACCCACGTTTATTAGGAGTGGATTGAACACAAATTTGATTCTGTTTATTTTAATTCACCAGACTGAATTTTATTTGCGTTATCAAGATTTTTCCAGGAATATCTAGATTGGGCAACCAACCGGCAGTGGAATTAAATAATAACTTATAAGCTAATTTCATCCTTCCAACCTTTGAGTCCAAAATTATTAAATCGACTAAAGAACATATTTTGTGTAAAGCTAATATTTTAAAACATTCAAATGTGTGTTCAATCATAAAGATTAAAAAAACAAATAAAAACTGAAGGTTAACAAACATGTTATCACAATACAAAGAAGATAAACATGTCTAAAACTAGTCCACAACCTGCCATTTTTTTTTCAAATCACTGAACCCAATGTTATCGCTATCTATATACCTATGTTAGTCAGAGCTGCCAAATAACCTTATCTTGATTAATCATAATAAAGTATTAGCGGAACTGATACAACGTATTGTATTGATAACATTCATTACTTATGAACAATATCTTCCTGATGTAGTTTTAATAGGCTATTTGACAGTATGAAAATTATTACTGAGAGTAATCTTTATAAAACACAGTCTGTTTTTGAACGAAATAAAAAAATAAAACATAAATAATTTGTCACTTGTGCGATGTCCGATGCGACGCCATATTGGCTAAAGCGTTTTGGCGGGATTTTTAAATTCTGAATGGGAATAATAGGTTCTATAGTCATTATTAAATCTGAAATGCTTTTATCAAATAGCCTTTTGCATGTCATCGAGGTGGTCTAAGATCCCGATATACAACGACCTTCACCGAGATGCTTATTTAATGAAACGTATTTTATATTTAATTTAATACATATGTCAATAAATATAATCCATATGGGTTGCCTAGCAAATTTCAGTCCAGAGTATTTTAATTAATATTAAAAAAAAAAATATTTTTTTTTAAATTTCACCGGTATGATTATTAGATAAATTCTATACCAATCGAAAGTATGAAGCCCATAGAATATGCAAACGTTAGGTTGTTTTTAATCAATTAATTATTTATGTGTATATTTTTTATGTGACACTAATGTGTATATACATCTTTAGTAAAAAAGAAAGTTATAGTGATACATATATAATACTACCCTGATTAAAAATATTGATTAAAAAAAATAAAAAAATTTACTACATGCAAATTATAAAAAAAATATTTTTTTTTTAAATATTAATTAAACATACTCTGGACTGAAATTTGCTAGGCAACCCATATGGATTATATTTATTGACATATTAAATTAAATATAAAATACGTTACATTAAATAAGCATCTCGGTGAAGGTCGTTGTATATCGGGATCTTATACTAAGGGTATAAAGCGAATGGTCACATGCCAAGTTAATCGAAAATAAATTTTTAGTTATATTCAAGTCACATTCAATTTCTTCAAAATCATCCATCAATTTAAATATTTTGAGAAATTAACGTAACCATTTTTTTTAAACTACAGGAAGAGGTTATGAATTCGACGTGTATTTTTGAAATTGATAATTTTTTTCTGGGCACACAGGCATGAAGCACGAGTGTTATGTCCAGAATTTCTTATCTTTTAGTTCTGTAAGCCAAGTTGGTTCGGAAATACTTTCGCCAGCTGTTACCACCGCGGCGGTTTCGTATGCCATACATTATGTTTTATGCTTTCTTTCTTTCACTTACTTCTGAGTAAGATCTGTCTGGGCTATAAATTAATTTTGTATCTTTAAAATTGTATGATCTACCGAATCGAAACCTCGACCGATGCGATAGGATCCTAACATTAACGCAGACCAAAAGATGTATGAACCCTTTCCATGAGCACCTGGCAGCCCCTAGAACACTGCTAAGCCACTGCTCCATGCAGCATGCTTATAGAAATTTCTAACCTCGGGTGGAGCGAACTTGTAACTCACGGTGTTAGATGGCATCATCTCGTCAATTTTCACACTCGAGGGGTTTACTGTGACCATACTCCGTTGGCGTAGTGGGACAGCCACGCGGGCCGTCGAAGGTTCTGGATGCTCTTCACGCTGGTTCTCTGTTGCTATGGTGTACGGCAGTTCCGATGGGAACACCTCGTCCCAGTACTGATCTTTAACTAATTCTGGATGCTCATGGTGCATTTCGTCGACGATCATATATGATACCTAAAATTAAAATTAATCAATACTATGGTATATACCAGAGACATAATGTTCGCTTCTATAGAAAATTAGTTTTGTTAATCTAAAAAAACTAAATTCTTGTTATATGATTCAGATATCTGTTTATTTCATTTATAATTAATGTATACTCAGAAACAATGATTACGATATCTTTATTCACAAGAAATTAATCTTTTAATATATGTAAGTATTTACAACTTTCGTTTCATTGCCCACAACTATTTATGATACCCACAATACAAGTAACAATAATGTATCCCAGAATGGTCCGCTCGCTAGAAAGTGCAAGTATTATAATTCTTTGTGTTCTCATGTTGATATTTTTCACAATAGTTTTTATGAATTTAAAAATATTATTCGCGGTGAAGACTTGCAACCTGAATTCAGTTTTTTGTCATTCAATTAAGTTTATACTGTATGTAATAATGTATTAACTATAAAGTATTACTAGTTAATATTTAGTAAGCACTGAAGATGCCACCGAAATACTGTGTACAGGTGTAAATAATTGGACTTCAGGTTTACAAAATATTGTTTAGTTTGTAGTAACATTATGTATTCAGTCAATCTATTGTCTGTTTCTGTACCGATCATGTAAAAATAAAAATTGGTATTTCAAATAATATTTCATTATGTCTCTGATAATTAGCGGATTTGGATTTGGAGCTGAGCCTAGTGGCACAGCGTGTGACTCTCATCTGAGGTCGTAGGTTCGAACCCTGGCTGTCCACCAATGGACGTTCTGTCTATTTATTTAACATTCGATCGAACGGTGAAGGAAAACATCGTGAGGAAGCGGCCAAAAAGTCAACGGCGTGTGTCAGGCATAGGTTGATCCCACACAGACCTACTTGCCTCTTAGACAAATGATCAAGAAACAGATACAGAAATCTGAGGCCCATACCTAAAACTGTTGTATCGCCAAAGATTAATTTTTATTTAAGTGTGAATTTCATTTTACTAATAATGGTTACTTTGAAAGTAATATTTGGGATAGAACATATTTTGCAATAGACTGTAAATTTTCTTAGTAATAGTCCGGTCAATTTAGACATCCGAAGTTACATAAAGTCCCAACAAGCTGAATTTCTGTGAAATTGTTCAAAACATAATTATAAACAATGTCTAGAAGTTCCCTATCATTCCCGTGTAAGGAAAAATTTTTATTCAAGGGCAAAGGTCAAAAAAATGAGTTTTTCGCGATTTTCAGCAAAACGGTAAGTTTTATCATAAAAGTACTCCAGACAAAAATTGTAGATCATACAATTATCTATAAAAAAAGGTATCAATAATTCAGCTTGTAGGGACTTTATGTAACTTTACTCTAGGTCTAAATTGACCGGACTATAAGTCCGTAATCCACTTCAAAATCGTCAAACGACTTTTTGATACCCTCAACATAACAACTATCCTTTGAGACTCCTTCATTTCAAATATTTACCTGCAAATTTCTGTCAATCAGCCAGTTAACTTCAAAGTCATCATCATCTTCTCCAAAGGGATTTATCAGTGACTCGGCGACTTTAAGCCATCCCATGTAGAAGAAGAATTCTAACGTTGTAAATATGGGAAAGTACAGGTCTATGTTACTTATATAGACTGATTCACTATGGGACTGCAATTTGTGGTCTACCCATTGGCTACCCAATGCTGAAGTTATGAAGTATGAGTATACAGCTATAGTTACTACCTGAAACAAATTTTTATGAATAAATACAGGAGGCCTAGTATCGAATTCTAATGAGAAAATGAATGTAATGCAATCTAAATAAACACTTGTTGGTGAATAACAGATAATAAACTACCTTGTATCAATAAAAAACGTAGAACAGAATAAACGATTACTCGACACAGATTCCTAACGGACGAACCCAATAATTAATTCACAATCTCAGATTGTTTTAAATCAATCAGACCGTGATAGTCGATCGATCTCCTATCTCCATCCCAATAACCAAACCCTACGAAGACGATCCATTTTTGGCAACGGATAAAATGCTCTTTGTCGTTCCATTTTACCGAGTTTACACTCATATTTGATAATCAATGTAAACCAAATAAAGTAAAAAACACCATACAAATAACATCAAAATATACATGTCTATATTTAAAACATAACAAACAGCTCTTTTAATTATTTAAAAAACTGGTGTAAGTTAAAATCTGTTAAAATAATTAAAACTGTTGGAATCGAGCTTTCGTCAACTGTCATTTTCATACAAAGGTCTATCCACAGACACCGATCGGACCTCCCACGGATAGCTTGTATCGATAGAAGGCTATTTCAATCCGTGGATTGTTCATTGACATACTTGTTACAACATTTGGATTAAGATTACTATCTCAGTTGGATTGAGATAGGTTATTGGGTTCGGGCGTAAATCAAAATCACAGAAAGAAGGGAATCGAATCGAAACAAAGCAAAACTCAAATACATTTGGGAATCTCTTTCATATAGGTAATTGTGAGGCGAGACTTACGCTATTATAATAGTCCATTGAAAAGTTACATTTGGGGTTGCGTTTTTTAGAGGACGCAATTTTATTTATGGAACATGTAGGGGGTCAATACAAGCTTAACTCCAAGTTTGTGGGGTTGCCGTGCTTGTCCCCCCGCCGCCATCTTGGATAAAGGGGTCCAAAAACTACGTTTTTGGCTATATCTCCTAAACTATCCATCGTACATAAAACTTGTAAAGACACATTTTGTAGCAAATCGCTGTGTCTACGATTATGTCTATGTAACTTTTTATCATAAATCCAAAATTCAAAAAGTTATAAATAAAAAAGTGATAGCTAGCTACTATTCTAATAACTGATTGATAATATAATTATGTCGAAGATTACCATATCAGCAAGTTGTCTGTGGAATAGGCCTACTAGGAATACCAATAAGTAAAATTGTAGGAATATAAAAAAAATAAAAAAAAATATTTGGAAAATTTGTTTAAAATAAACGAGAGATCTTAAAAGTAAGGTAAAACTGTTGTCTTGATCGGCTTGTCATGAGCATTGACGCACCTAGTCAACTTTAGAAATAGGAAATGTTTTCACTTTTTTACTTATAACATAATTGTAGGCACAGCGATTTGCTACAAAATGTGTCTTTACAAGTTTTATGTACGATGGATAGTTTAGGAGATATAGCCAAAAACGTGGTTTTAGGACCCCTTTTTCCCAGATGGCGGCCGTGGGACAAGGGTGGCGACCCCACAAACTTGTTTTTAGCTTTACACTGACCCCCTCTACACATCAAAAAAATAAAATTGCGTCCTCTAAAAAACGCAAGGTAAGGCCTAAAAAATGTAACATTTCAATGGACTATAACTCCCATATTGGATTGTGAATCTTATCCTAAGATTCATGAAGCGACGAAAACTGATTATAGAAATGATTTTAATTATATACAAGCTGATGATGTGTCATCGTAGTGATCAGTGAGCTCACTATTGCAGATGTAAGTGTATTTTGCAATAAGTAAAGAGTTCAATATCATATATAGAATATGTTATATGTTATAGGTAGTGTAATATAGACATAAAGTTTAAGAACTATGTTTTAATTAATTAAATAAAAACGTTACATTATGTATTAAAAAGTTACTTTTGAGCTTCCTATTTTTTTATTTGTTTTTAACATAGATTGTAATTTTCTTTTAAACTATAGATATATATATAAACGATACGAATAAAACGCCATACTGTTAAGGGTCCGTTCACACAGACCGGCTCGGAGAGCATCGGCCTGCTTTTTTCTTTTCACACAGACCGGGTCGTATACGCTTGGAATTGGCCGGAGCGGAGCCGCCAACTATTTCACATCGACCGGCTGGAAGAGATCTGAAAGCGGGTGCGGTTGGATGTGCTCGGAGCCGGTCGGATGCGCTCGGAGTCGGGTGGATACACTACAAAGGCAGTGCCAGTATTCCGCGCAGTCTAAGTTTTGTTTTCGGTGTGTTAACGTGTGCTTTTCGAAACATGGATTTAGATAGCTCCGACGAAGAAATATATTTGTTAGCAAGATTACTTGAAATAGAACATAGGAAACGTAAGCGCAAGCGGAAACAAATATGGGTAAAACATATTTGGAAAAACAGACTAATCCATGGGGAGTTTCACACCATTTTCGAGGAATTGAAGAGAGATAGCCTAAAATTTTATGAGTATTATCGTATGGAATATTGGCAATTTTTGAAATTGACAGATTTGTTAAGAGTACATATAACAAAAAAGACTACAAATTATCGTTGCACCATTACAGCCGAAGAAAGGTTAACGGTAACTTTAAGGTAAATAAAAAACAATTATTTATACTAATCATGTTATTTAGATCACAAAATCACAGCCCTCCATTTATTAAGCATTGTTTACGTTAATGAAATGTAAATTACTTATACTAATCATGTTAAATAACACAAACATCTAAATAGATCACAAAATCACAGCCCTCCATTTATTAAGCATTATTTACGTTAATGAAATGTAATTAAATAGTACAGATTTGTGTGTGTTTAATTATTATTATTATAATTATTATTGTTTTTGATTGTTTATTATTTTGTATTTTGTGTGCTGGTATTGTACCCGCAAGTAGTCTGATCTGGATAGTTTTGAGGAATATAGGTTTCGTTTGACACTAGGTAAGTAGATTGATTAGTCGATGGCGGTGAATTTATAGACAAAGAATAATTCAAATCTGTACTATTTTCATACAGACTTAATTCAGCTTCATTAACAATGTTAAACACGCGCCTTTTAATTCGTGCTTGGACTTCTTTTGGGAATGTTTCCACTGTATCTGACATAGACAAAAAAAAATTACGTAATGCCTTGTCACGGGGTGTAGTATTTCTTTTTTCTTCAAGATACTCTTCGAAAACCGTAGCAACATCTTTGCTTAAGCGTGGTCTCTTTTTCGAGCCAGAAGTACTTGCAAGCGATTCAACTTCAGAATGGTCAGAACGTTTAGATGATGTCGATGGTGGTTGTATTGGTGTGCCAGGCTCTGAATCATCCGATGATAATGTTACATTAGATATTTGGTTTCGATTGCGAAAAAATGGTATTATAAAAGAAAGTTCTTTTTCAAATTTTATCAATTTGGACGTAGTTGCACCATCGCCACTCTTGCCTTTTCGGTTATAATAGGCTTTTCTGAAGTTATCTCGCAGTTTCTTCCAACGATCCTGGCACTGCGTCACTGGAAAGAACAGAAATGAAAAATTAATAACATAACTCTTTTTTATTTTATAGTTCGTTTTGGTACGGCAGTCTTATATTTCTATTTTGTGTGTTTGTTTTATTTTTACAGATTCCTCATCACTGGTTGCAGTTTCAAAAACTTGTCATTTAATTTTCGAATGGGAATTTCTACAGTTCATTCAATTATTCATGAGACAATCAGAGTAATTTGTGATGTTTTGATGCCCATAGTTATGCAGATGCCAGATGAAGAAATGTGGGAAAAGGTTTCACGTGATTTCTTTAATATTTGGAATTTTCCTAACTGTTTGGGCGCTATAGACGGAAAGCATGTCAATATACAGGCACCAGATAATAGTGGAAGCTTATACTATAATTATAAAAACTTTTTCAGTACAGTGTTACTAGCTGTGGTCGACGCGAAATACAGTTTTTTAATTGTTGATGTCGGATCATATGGTAAAAATAGCGACGGCGGAATTTTACAGAATTCAAAATTTTGGAAAAAACTCAACACCAATAAGTTAAAGCTGCCCCCAAATAAACCTCTACCTAGTACCACTGAAAGCTTACCACATGTTTTTATAGGAGACGAGGCATTTCCTTTGAGCAATAATATATTGCGGCCGTATCCAAGAGAACAAGCAAGAACAGAATTATCAAAAAAAGTATTTAATCTGCGTTTAAGCAGGGCAAGAAAAGTCGTAGAATGTGCATTTGGAATGCTAACTCAAAGATTTGAAATTTATCAAAAACGAATGAAAATTCAGCCGAAGTACTGTGATTTAATTATATTAGCAACTACATGTTTACATAATTTTTTAATAGAAAATCGGACGCCAGGACAAGAGAATGAATTTCACAGCAATATAAATTTATTAACAGCAATAACAGACAATAATAATGAAAACAGTTCTAATAGCGACGCAGTTCTAACCACAACGAATAAATTTAAGGATTATTTTTCATCAAGTGGTGCTTTAGATTGGCAAGATCAAGTGGCTACGCGAGTTTCTTAAGTTATATTTAATAAAAATTGTCTACTACATAAGTATATTCTAACGATCAGATACTCAAACGAGTTTTTAAAGTAAGGGCGCATTTAAACTCATATTATTCCTATTTTGACTTTGAATCTAACACGTCGCAGCACGAGTTTAAGAAGCCCTTGCTTTAAAATTCGTTTGAGTATCTGGGGGTAGGTGTAAAACAATGAAAACCTTACTTACCACTTATTCCGAGACATTTGCTAATTTCCTCCCATGCATTGTCTTTCATTATCCGATCGCTATATGATGGCTTGGTTATGTCAAATAAACACTCATATTTTGACACGAGTATTATTAATTTTTCATCATTCATCTTTTCGTACAAGTACGCACAACTATTACGTTCAAATGTTGCTATCAAAATGGCGGTCGGCGCGGCCGCAGCGGGCACGCAATCGGAGCCGATCGGCTACGCGATAGAGAAAGAGCACGCAAGCGGAGCCGGTCGGCTCCTTTTATTACTTCACACGAAGCGCGTTCAGGCATTTTTAATGACAAAAAAGGTGCAAATGCAAAAATAAACTTTACTACAATCACTCAAAACACTGTTTCCAACGTGATAAAAATCTGCTCTCCTCTCCGAGCCGGTCTGTGTGAACGGACCCTAAGTAGTAACAAAATTCAATTAAAAAACTCACTATAAATTACAACTTGTCACGTGAACTTCCCTCAGTTCGTTGCCTTGAGGCATAAAAGTTCATTTCCATTTAATTGGATTAATTCTTGACACGAATCCATTACTTTAAGCAATCGAAAGTTTCATTATGAATGATTCAGCAGTATACGCGCGTAATGTGTACAATTTGGTACTCCCCATATTTAATCATGAACTTTATAAACTAATTATCATTATCAAAAGTATTTTAATATCATATTTGCGACATTCAAACTAAAGCTACTTTTTACACAAAAACATATTATCTTTACCTTCACAATCTGATTTTATTTGCGCTATCAAAAATTTATTGAAAAAGAAAACAACAGACACATCACAAAGAAATACAATTTAAAATTAGTGTCCGAAAATTATTTCAAAGCTAAGAATAATGTTATTAAAGAGAAGACACTTAGGTAAACATAAAGAAGACAAAAACAGAAGAATTAGAAGAGACCATACATGAACTAACTTAAGTTAAACTAATACTGTTCTCGATATGTTAGCTGTGTTAGCTAAGTTCGTTAAACTTGCGACCGTGAGGAGTGGTACACAAATAGATATTTGCATGCGTCTTAAATACAAAAATGGATGTTTGTGTCGCAGCCAACTAGCTTAATTACCCGTTCAATCACCAACCTAGCCTTTTAACTAAACAGCGCCGTTTAACTAGCGGCCTCAAACATACACAGCCAGTTGATCAAACAGCTAGGCAAATGAGTAGGATCGATGACGTTTCATTACTTGCCTAGCCTGTTGACTGTTAATTTAAATTTAGTTCCACTTTCTGCCACTCTCAAACTCGGAACGAAACTCATCAAACTGTCAATATGGCGTCGGCAAACCACAACTTTGATGGTATTTTCCAAAGTTTAATGAAAAACAACAAGTTCAATGGAAGAGTGTAGTGACAATAATAATGTGAATAGCTGTGACCGACTCAAGCAATTTAGTTTTTAAAGAAATATTTTCTAATATATTTTTCTACTCGACTGGTCACTCTATCGTACGAATGGTCTAAGCATTAGCCAGTTTATTAAATGATGTTACAAACGCTACGGCTGGATATCTTTCCGGCCGCTAGTTAAACGGCGCTGTTTAGTTAAAAGGCTAGGCTGTTAATTGATCGGCTTATTAAGCTTGGCTGCGTCGTGTGTATTTAAAAAGGTAGTATGAAACAGATACAGTTCTCCCATGACCCCCTATGGGGTTTCACTCATTCCAAACACTCAAACCAAAGGATAATCTATAAATATTGAACGCTTGGTCTGTAACATGTCTAACGCCCGAACCCAATAATCAATCCACAATCTGAGATCAGACTATGACAGTCGATTGATCTCCTATCTGCATCCCAATAACCAAACCTTACGAAGACAATCCATTTTTAGTGACGGATAAAATGCTCTTTGTCGTTCCATTTTACCGAGTTTTCACTCATATTTGATAATCAATGTAAACCAAATAAAGTAAATTAAACCGTACAAATAACATTAAAATATACATTTATATGTTAAAACATAGCAAACAGTTTTTTTTATTATTTAAAAAACTGGTGTAAGTTAAAATCTGTTAAAATAATAAACTGTTGAAATCGAGCTTTCGTCAACTGTCATTTTCATACAAAGGTCTATCCACATTCCACAGACACCGATACGACCTCCCATGGATAGCTTGTATCGACAGATGGCTATTACAATCCGTCGATTGGTTATTGGCACACTTTTTACAACATTTGGATTAAGATTACTATCTCAGAAGGTGGATTATGGATTGAGATAGATTATTAAGTTCGAGCGTAAGCCTGTCACAAATGAATCGAGACATACGGGAGTTCAGTCTCAAATCTAAGACAATCTTACCTGCGTATAAACAAGGGGTACACTGATTGTATCATAACTGAGTAGCAACCCCGCTTGCCCTCTAAACTTATTCAATTCATCTATAATCGTTTTAACAGCGAAATCGTCCCTTATACGTCCTTCTTTCCGCGCCCTCGTCACAATACTGGTAGCCCATACAATCGGCAACCTACAAACTGTGAAATTATCAAACCTAGAAGTGTCATCCCTACACATTTAAAGCAATAAGCTGGTGCGTACTTTTGTTAATCCTTGGTGCGTTGCCACACATCGTTAGAGACGACACTTACGCAATAATCAGCATTAACTTACGGTACTAGAAATATGTCATACCAATGCTTGGAGGGTTTAGGAAACTTTTGATTTAAATTGTCTAATATACTCTTTTCGTTGTCTATTAGGAGGCCCGCCTCGACTAGGTTGTCGAGGGTCGGGAAGCGCTTTTTAACCCTTGGTGATATCATTGTGAGCACCATGGTAAGACAAAGGCACACATATCGAAGTATTGTTCGTCGCATCAGACGGCCTCTTTCATCCTGAAATGATGAAACAAGTTAGAACTGAAGGTCGAACGAGTATTTGTTTGAAACACAATTTCGCAATACAAATAAAAGAACTGATGAACAAACACACCTAAGAACATTTTACATGGACATACCATATATTACTAAAGAAACACACAAAATAATAATAATAATCAAAAAAAGAAAGAAAAATAACAAAGATTTTTTTTTGAAGGAACAAGGTACAGTTTAAGTGTGTATGTGTGTGTTGTGGTTGAACTGGCCCTTGCTCAGCATTATGCTGTGGAGCAGATGTTCCACAGCACTGGTCATTTCTGCCAGAGACCACAACAAAAAAAGAAAAATAATGTAATAATAAAATAGTAAAAATTAACAGTGTAAGTAAAGAAGTCTTGAAAGATTTGTGTGTGACAGTACATACATATACAGGGTGACCAAAAAGTCGTGGATCAAACGCAAATAGGGGATAGATGAGGTCATCAGCGGAAAATTGTTCTACGGGAGGTCTACCCCTAGAGTTATAATTTATTTTGCGTTTTATAAGAAAATTGACTTTTTTTTACTAATTCTTATTAAAATTCGATAAAATCTACATCCCCTGTATATTTTTCATAATGTCCACTAGATTGGTGCTGATGAGTTCTTGCTTAACACATACTATTTATAGTTGTTTATTGAGTGTATTGAAGATAATATTAAGTTATACGATATAATTTTTTTTCAAATCAAAACTTTTGTTTACTTAGACCCCTCTGTGAAAAAAAACCTACGAAAAGTACCCTGTATTAAAGTTTTGGCATTTCATAGGGATTCTGAAAAGGTATTAAATGGCCATGAGTCGCTCTAATATCTTTTAGACGAAAAAACAACAACGATTGGACTTATGATAGATTATTTACCTACATGGACCAGTACTGTGAATGACTAGATTCAAAAAATAGAAGATGGTGAGGGTTACGTAGGAATTTGATTAGACGGTGCAGATTGAGTATTATGTAATCAGGAATTTTGAGATATTTATTGTAAAATATTTTGTTTCATACAAACAACCATTGAGAAATAATTGTTTTAATACAATTATTATTTCACAATCTTTGTTTGTAATTCTTCCTAGAAAGATATTAGAGCGACTCATGCCACGTGTAATACCTTTCAGAATCCCTATTAAATTCGCCAAAACTTGTAAAGGACACTTTGGTGGAGTAATTTTATTTAAGTGGGGTCAAAGTAAAGAAAAATTTATGATTTGAAAAAATGTTATATCGTATCACTTAATATTATCTTGAATCAACTGACTCAATAAACAACTATAAATAGTATGTCGAACGCAAGAACTCATCAGTACCAATCTAGTGGATATTATGAGAAAGATACAGGATGTAGATATTTTCGAATTTTAAGAAGAATTAGTAAAAAAAGTCAATTTTCATATAAAACCAAAATAAATCATAACTCTGAGGGGTTATAGAGACTCCTAGAACAATTTTTGCCGCTGATGACCTATTATCCCCTATTTGCGTTTGATCCACGACTTTTTGGCCACCCTGTATAATAAATAAAAAAAAGAATAATTGTCAAGAAATAGATAAATAAATATTTTTGGGCGGATTAAAAAACTAGATTTCGTGGGTAACAGAAATTTTGATTTTAGTTGAAGATTTTTCAGTGATTTTTAGACGTAAATATAACTTTAAGAAGCTATAACTATACGAATTCACGCAAAGAAATTGTACAAGTACCCAATTCATTATTTTTAAAGTATTCAAACACATTTTGTCGTAAAATTGTGTATATTTTTCTGATGTTAAGGAAGGCCATGGACAACATTGCCAGGCTCGCAAGTGCGTTGCCGGCCCTTTGATATTATCTAAGTATTAATTTTTATGAAACCAAATCTTTTTATGTATGGTAGCTACATGGAGATTTTCGTAAACTAGTAATACTTATAGAAAGGCCAAGGTCAAGGTCAACCATAAAATATGTCGGATTATAATCTTGAACGTTTTACACGATTTGGATTTTAAGAATTATTGAAGTTATACATCTTTAGGCGCGTTATGAAAAATTGATGAGAGTAAAATTTTACGTTGCGCGCGCACCATGACACAAAATTAACAGAATGAAGTTGCCCACGGAAGATGCTACGGCATTGGACATAATTTAAAAACAACAGTTGAATAATAATATAATTTATGTTACACTTAATGTAAGAGAATAATAATAAATATTTATTTAATTTTTCAAATGTAAACTGAGCTTTATTGACTATAATGACTCCTTTTCCAGTCTTTGATTATTTAATTGTAATTAATTATTTGCATGCAATCAAAAACTATTTTTAATAATGCCAAAGAAGTATAACTTCTTACGCGCGTACATAAGTACACGTACCCTTTTTTTTAAATAAAATAAGCTAGCATTATCGATCACTCCAAAGCGGTATTCATTTACATCACATACAAAACAATGCATACATATACAAAAGAACAACACAACAATCACAGTAATAGAATAAAATTGAGTGTCCACTCTTTATAACGAAAAACTTTCTATAACGTAAAAATGAGTTATATTTATTTGGTTTAACCCAATACCCATACATGTTTCCCCCTCCCTATAGCGACACCTCTCTATAACGAATAGATGCTGATTGAAATTAGTTATAAAGAGTTTAGAAACAATTTCTTACAATATAGGAACTGACATTAAAAACGTCTCTTAATCTATGCAATTCAATAAATTATTCCATACAGTGTGTTGTGTGGCCTTTTTAATTAAGTTCGTAAAGGTTAGTTCTGAGGGTACTATTATATAAGTGAACTAGCTGACCCGGAAAACGTTGTTTTGCCATGTATATTATTTCTAGGAAACATTTTTTAGCTCAATAAAAATAAGTATCTACTATAATAAAAAATAGAGGTTGATCGTAGAGGGGTGAAAATTAGGGGTTGGATGTATTTTTGTATGCTGTATCATAAAAAAAAAATTGTCTAAAAAATAAAAATTTCAGGTGGACACCCCTTATCACTTAGAGGTTTGAAAGATAGTAGCCGATTCTCAGACTGACTGAAAATGCATTAGAAATTTCATAAGAATCGGTCGAGCCGTTTCGGAGGAGTATGGGAACGAACGAGAATTTTATATATTAAATATTTCGAATAGAATACGAAGATTACAATTCCGTTGTTGTCAACGTACTACTGAGGCGCTAATTAAAATCTTAAAACAAATGACTGACGGATTCGTCATTCAACCATTTAGCAGATAACACGGCGGGACCTTTACAAGTTCCTTGTTATCAACCCATCTAAGATTAGTTAGTAGACTAAGGACAGAGTTTTATCAGTATAGATATTTAAAATAAAATATTATCATTGCAGTCTTGAATCAAATAATAGCCATAATGATGTCACGCAGGTTGTATCAGGTATGTATTGCCGACGCATTTTAAAGTAAGTCTTCTGGCGACTCTCATACCTGAGGTCGTAGGTTCGATCCCCGGCTGTGCACCAATGTACTTTCTTTCTATGTGCGCATTTAACATTTGCTCGAATCGTGAGGAAACCGACATGTCTTAGACCCAAAAAGTCGACGGCGTGTGTCAGGCAGGCTGATCACCTACTTGCCTATTAGATTTAAAAATGATCATGAAACAGATTCAGAAATCTGAGGCCAAGACCTAAAGAGGTTGTAGCACCACTGATTTATTTTTTCTTCGGGCAATAAATGTCACTGACAGTAGGTAAGTGCACGCAATGCAACCCGTTATGACTTAGCTACCTACGCACTCTGACTCCTGATTGGTCGATACGAAGTAAGGGTTGTTGTTTTTCTATAAATACAAGATATTTTAATGAAGCTCATTACTTACGCTTCGTTACGCAATACGCATAATGGAGAATTTATTTTCTAACGTGGTTTTTTTTTATCGTACAAATTAAACACTTTTCTTAAAATTATTCGCGAATACTTAACATTACATATCGATCGTACCGATCCCGTTATCGATATGCACTTCTACAATTCTTACGTACATCACTACACCTCTCCATAAGACCTGTAAGTGCGAGCGAGACAGACAGATAAATATGATTTATGTCATGTCAGTTCATAATGCGTCGACTAGTACTGAATGGTATTACAAATTGTTTACTCCTGCTGACGTCATTTTAAATGATTATATAATAGGTTTATGAGACATCGCCCATGTGACATTGATGTAATATGTAATAATACTTTTGCTCTCTATAAACTGGGTGAATGAGTATTTTTTAATTGGTAATTACTAAGTAATAGAGCAGTGTTGGCCTAGTGGCTGCAGCGTGCGACTGTCATCCAGGAAGTAGGTTCGATACCCGGTTGGGCGCCAATGAAGTTTCTTTCTATGTGCACATTTAACATTCGCTCGAACGATGAAGGAAAACATCGTGAAGAAACCGGCTTGCCTTAGACCCAAAAAGTCGGCGTGTTGCACAGGCTGATCGCCTAATTGCCTATTAGATTGACAAATGATCATGAAACAGAAATCTGAGGCCCAGACCTAAAAAAGGTCTCTTTATGTCGTCTCTTTAATTATGTCGAAGATTACCATATCAGCAAGTTGTCTGTGGAATAGGCCTACTAGGAATACCAATAAGTAAAATTGTAGGAATAAAAAATAAAAAAATGATTTAGAAAATTTGTTTAAAATAAACGAGAGATCTTAAAAGTAAGGTAAAACTGCTGTTTTGATCGGCTTGTCATGAGCATTGACGCACCTAGTCAACTTTAGAAATAGGAAATATTTTCACTTTTTTACTTATAACTTTTTGAATTTTGGATTTATGATAAAAAGTTATATAGACATAATCGTAGACACAGCGATTTGCTACAAAATGTGTATTTACAAGTTTTATGTACGATTGATAGTTTAGGAGATATAGCCAAAAACGTGGTTTTTGGACCCCTTTATCCAAGATGGCGGCCGGGGTACAAGCACGCCAACCCCACAAACTTAGAGTTAAGCTTGTATTGACCCCCCCTACATGTTCCATAAATAAAATTGCGTCCTCTAAAAAACGCAACCCCAAATGTAACTTTTCAATGGACTAGTGGCAATATACGAAATTTAGACTATCACCAAAATATTTTTTACCATATTCTTGCAAAAAATTATTATTATATAAAATAAACTATACTTTGTTGTATGGCTTTCCTAGACGATCATCCGGAGTTAGATAATTTCCAAACTTGGAGCCTGTCATGGCATGCTAAAGCAATCTTATCTTATAAACGGTAAAATTTGTGAAGGCTGATGGAGATAATTGTTAATTTTGAGTGTTAAATTACGTACTAATGTTAAACAACGTGATATATTATTTTTGTTATACAATCTGTAGTATTGTTTATCCCGTTACCATGGTAGTTTTTAGGACTCAACGGTCTTAAGGCCCTATCCCAGCACGAATTGCTGTCAGTGTCTCGGGGTGGACTGCGGGTCGCAGTGGAGAGCACTGGAGGAACACTGAGGCGCGCCAGCCCGCAATAACAATTAGTTATGTAAAACATTAAATTAATGTAATTTTTATTTTTTTTCTGAAATAGATTACTTTAAATTTCAAAATCAAGGTCTATATACATTTTCGTCATAAAATGAATTCAAAGTGTCAAAAATTGGTTATGTTTGGTTTTTTTTCTATCAAGCGAAGTTATTTAAATCGTATATCGAAATGGATACATAAACTACTCAACTCCACCTTATATTTATTCTATTCACCCTATTTCAAGAAACGATGAAAAATGGCGAACAATGTACTTTTTTGGAGTTTGGCGACCAGATCGGTCCTTAAGCCATTTTAATTAATTTACATCTGATAGGCCGTTCGGTCGCAATAATTTTGATTAGTTTTTACTACTAACAACTTGTATATAGTAAAAATAAAATGGATGGTTCCCATTGACAATTTTATATGAGACTTTGGTTATGTAATTTGTCCACGCGCATTCTTCTTTTTTAAGAGCCGTGCTAGACTGGCTAAGCATATAACTCTCAACCTTGGGGTCCTACGTTCTCGTAACCAGGGTTTTCTTTTATAAAAGAGTGGGGAAACACGCGAATGGACACTTAGATCCAAATGCGCGGGCTTTTAAGAATTGGTTCGCAAATACTTCCGTGGATAGCTCCACATTTACAGTGAAGAAAAATCAAGAAAACATAAAAAGATAGCCAAGTCAATAAGCAAGTTTTTGATTTGGATCTTAAGTTCATCGCGATAATTCTCGACAAACTCTTCCCCAAGATCATTGGTTATTACACAATTTTTCGAAGTGAAACTTCTTTAGGCGCATGAGGGTAAAATTTTTACGGAGCGTCACGAAGATGTGCAGCGTTTTTGTCGAGGAAAAGGGAGAGAGCGATTGAATCCGATTGAGAGAGAGGGCGAAGGGTGAATTACCTTATAGAAATTATAATTTTAAAATTAAAATTTCGTAAAGAGAGTTTAAGAAAAAATTGTATTTTATATTTTATGAAAAATATTTATTGAAATCTCAAATGACGAATTGTAAATTAAAATGCCACGTGTTTTTATTATCGTAGCAAAAAAATTTAAAATATTAAATTTATTATTTGTATTAATATTCGACACTTTTAAAATTTTAATGACAATTAAATTCCTAACATATCTTCCTTTTTCCCTCCCTCTAAGTCTCGGAAATCTAAAGTTTTAGATTTGTGTAAATATGAACAAGAGTTAAAAATTAGTTTGCCAAAGACTTCTGACATGTGTACTTTGTACGCACGCACTTTTTTTTTCTTTAATAAAGATGTGCTAGTATAATATTGTGGTGCAATTATTCATACTTGAACACCGATAGTGTTTTTAATACGTATATCAATATCATTATTATTTTATTAAGTAACTAAATTACCATTTTTTTGTTGGTTTTGTATTTTTATAAGGGCACAGAACAAAGACCTTTTTTGCTAAGAACCAGTTGGCTATTTTAGAAAATGTGGACATAAGTTAGCAATTATGATAATAATGAATTTGTCATATTATTTGGTAATTGTCACTATATTTATTGTGATATTTCTATATTCATAACAACAACTAATTTTAGTTCTGGTTTTTAATTAGCCTTAGTATCATTCATTAATATAGAAAGACTAGCAAAATTAAATTATGTGATTTGGGCAGCTTAATTACTCAATAATTAATTTACAAAGAAGTTTCACTCTTGACATGTGTACTTTGTACGCACGTACTTTTTATGTTTGTTATACCTATTTTCAAACAGTTCTCTTACCTGGCCATGAATAGACGCAGAAACAAACACCGCTATTGAATCAGGCCAAGGAATCGTCGTGTATTGATTCCACCATCGGTTCATTACAACTGTTACATAGAAACCCAGCACGAATGATAATGGTATGACATTACCATGAAAACTGCAGTAGTTCACAACACCTTCAAACATTCTGAAACAACATTAATCTCATTTACTTGCTACCCTAGTAGGGTTGCCACTACTTTATAAATTATAATAAAGTACGGAATTTCAGGTACTCTATTCATATTCATAATCATTTAATTATTTAGGTAAGACAATGTACACTTATGAACGTCAATAGAGAAATAATTATTAAATGCTTCTAATTTTACATTTACTACCAGTTCTCAAATAAGTAGAACGGACGAGAAGAACTGACAATTAACTCTCCGCCACTCTTTTTAATCGCCAAGATTTTTGTTTTACACAATGTTTGTAAGGAGCTGCAACCATTACACCATGTCCCACATGACATCTTAAGTAATGAATAGTTAATTAATCATAAAAAACAAATTAAAAACAAAGATCTGTCCCTTTATCAGCAGTAGGCAAGGTGAAATAGAAGCACGCACTTACATTCTCGTGGAAACAACACGCAAATACATAGTCGAAATAGCTATACTTTATTAGAACAATAAAGTACTTTATTTCGCACGATGTGATAGTCGGAGGTATTTTCTTGTAAAACAGAATTTATCGATTGGCGCTGAATCGATGTTGCCACTAACCACTACTCGCCAGCGCCACTCTAGCTTTAGAAAACTAAATTATACTTTACTTTCATACTATCCACTTTTTCTTCTTATTGTTTATAACCAATGTTCTTTGATTGAAAAAAAAAGGTGGCAACCTCTACCCTAGTGAAGAAAAAGAAACTAACTTCTGTGACACTCACATGTCGATATTAAAACTACAACAAACATCTAGAACAGAAGACCTGATTTTGATTGTCTGACTGTCGTTTGATTTGAGTTAATACACTGTATCCTATACAGTGTATACTATAACCTATCTCATTTTCTCCCCCGTTAAATCTTGTGAATTTATGTATCCGTCTCTTTTTACTGTCGCTTTTTCGTTTCATCGACTTTCAAATCAACGCGACATTGGAGGAATTGTGATTTACACAGAAGTCGCCATTATAAATAAAGTGAAGTGAAGTGACTTTCAAATCACAAAGATGCGAAAGAAGTTTTCACTTCAAAATCACGTAACAGTGTGAGATATATTTGATAGTATAACGATGACAGCTTTCAAATATTCACCTTTTCGATTCTTCATCCAGTAGCAGCCGATATATTAAATTTAAAAAATAATATAGAAGTAAAAATACAAGAAGATCGAGCCATATCAATTTGTATATACTGCCTCGCCATCTGTAACAATAAAAACAATTTAGCTATTATTTTATTTACCTATTACCATACCATATTAATGGTAAATAACGATATACAGTGGAATCTCTATAACTCGAACCTCGTTAAGTCGAAAAAAAATTGCTATTCCCTTCCGCTGAGCCCCTAATACGCGGTATCTCGAATTATTTAGACTTTGTAACTCGAACAAAATATTATTTCCCTACGAAGTATTGATACATATAACTCGAATTTCAAAACGGAGACTGCGTAAGTCGTAGTTAGTAAAATATAATGACGTCTTATTTGGAATTCCCCGAAATAATAGCAATAAACTCCTAAATTAATGTTCGGGTTCGGGGCTTCTATTCTATTGTTTTTGTCTTGTAACGTGCAATGAATGAATACATTCTTAAAACTAAGTAACGTAATGTTCTTATTCGGTTCATTGTTCGAGCTTGAAAAAAATTAGTGATTAAAAATCTGCAAATAGTTTACTTCATCAATATGTAATTTGTTTTTAAGTGTAAAAAATATATACTACGAAACTTAAGTTGAGTTATTATTCAAATTCGACTCTACAAATCGAAAAACACACAGAAATCGCTCCTCTGTAAGTTAAAACATGTATCTTGAAGTTCTTGTTAAGTCGAAAACTCGTTAACTCGATTTTTTTGCATTTCCCTTAACATTTGAGTTATAGAGATTCCACTGTATATTCATTTTGTTATATATGAAGCCAGTTCTTCAACTTTAAAGCCAGTACTTTAAAATTGGTAGTTTCAGATTTGAGAACATTAAGGGTTCGTGCTCCTCCATATTCTATGGGCAACCACGCCACGCGCAAGCGTGGGCGAGTTCAAGCAAGGAAGAACTTCCTTTAAAGACGACCTCCGCACTGCCCTATGATGGAGTGACTGAACGAATGATTAAAAAGAATAAAATACGGTGACCCTTACACTTTCGTTACTCTGGTGATTAATTGATTTGTCAAATAAGGAAATTAACTAAATTAATATATGTACATATAATTAAATATCATCACAATAAGGATAACTGCGAAAATCCCTTTTATAGGGAATCCATTGTACATCACAATATAAGTGTATATTCTCAAGGTTACGAATGTATTTATTTTTAAGTATTCATTCAAATTAGTGCGAAAAGAATGACTCAAACTATTCGGAAATGCCACTTCCCGACGAATTAATTCCCGATTAATTTGTTATCATTTTCGTTTCATGTTTGTTCGCTTCTCATTGTTAATCGTCTTCTTTCTTACAAACCAGCCAAGCACTTTTAGTGTTTTACTTCAAAATAAGAAAGAGGTTTCACATTTCGACTTTATGGCACCAACTTCCAAACATTATTCTAATAGGATTTTCTTACCTCGAATAAAGTAATCATCGTTCAATACAAATAAAAAATATTTAATACTTGTTAGTAAATTTTTATTATATATATTGTTTTTTAAATAATTATCAGGTTGAAATGAGGTTTGTTTAATCTATGCCTTCACTACCGTATTTAAAAAAAAAATATATTTTATACGTGTTGTGCATGACCGATATGTCAGTAACTCAGAGCCGGGTTTACCCAAGACAGCAAAGTTTTCAACATATTTCAGCTATGCAAAAATATTCGCTACAAAACAAACATGTATCTCTAAGCAAGAATTCAATCACGATACTTTTATGGGAATGACGATCGTGGGTGCGGAAAATGACGTCATTTTGATTAATGATTAGTTAGCATACATTGTATTTAACTGAGGCAGCTGCCATTCACACTGTGTACACATGAGTTATCTAAAAATCTGTTATCCTGAACATACGTAAAAATATGTTCCTGCAATAACTTTTTCAAGAGAAGAAATTTAATTACAAATTTTAATTTATGTATCGAAACTCTATGATTGTCTCGCCTTCATGGCAACAAACTACACTGTTCACCTTGCCTTAAAATATGAAAGAACCAGATGCAGAATATTGCCTGCTTCATGCCTCTTTTCAGAAGAAATACATGGAAAAAACACAAATGGGTCTACTACCAAGGAAGGAATACAAAATGCATTACACTGAATTCTTAATATCCCTTGCCTCGTCGGCACGGCGCCGACTAAACCGTAGACAGGTCGGCGACGTAAAATAACAACCTACTTTAATTTCCCCTAGTAATAAAACATATGTTTAAACCATTGATACAAGTGTCTGTCCTGTATAGCAGGGTGTAGGAATGGGTACAAAGAAATAATGGGAAAATTTCTATATGAGTTGCTTAAGTTCGCCATTTCAGGTGTAATTTCTATATTTGGAAGAAAAAGATATCAAAAATAATTAAAACAATTCTATATAAGTGGAGAAAAATGAAGTGACTCCAGACTTAAATAAACCGTTTGTTCGTTTTACATTTACTTTTTAATATAAATAAATAACCATTTACTTAAGGGTCTTTCATAATTTCAGTTTTGAATAGAGATACGACTATACATATTAATTTCATCAAAGTGCATAGTAATGTGTAATTAAAACAATTAAGAATAGCTTGTCAAAATGGCCTCATATACTTATGAAAGCATTTTTAATCAAATTCAGTTCTGTCTCAACTACAAAGAGACCAGGCCAGAGTTATTACTATTTGTTATGTCAGATTTCCTTTTATATTCATTGACTTATGTGTTACAGTATTTCTAGTGTCATCTTTATAATCAATATAAGTTTATAAAATAAGATCATAATAATTTATAACTACATTTTTTAGTTTGTGGTAGTTTAACATGATAATAAATTTAGCATTCAGAACTTTGGTTTGAATCTGTATAACTTAAGACAATACTAACTGATTGTTTCAAGTATTAATACTTGGACTTAAATTACTTTGAAAAGTTAACTGAAAAAAATATGTGGGTGGTATGATAAAAAAAGTAGTTACCTGTTTAAAACTTTAAGAAAAGTTCCAAATCCGCGACAGGTCGCTACATCCCCAGTGTAAGTTACAGTCATATTTAGAGATAATTGTTTCAAAATATATAAACACTTATTTAAAATATCACAGCATTTTCACAGACGTTTACACAGTTAAAACGATTATTATAATTAACGTTTACATATTTTAAAAAATCCAGTTCTCATCATAATTAGAAAAAAAATAGTTATGCTTAAAATTACTCTTTATTAGCTGTATAAATTTTACTGCAATGCACCAATAAAATACCAAGCTAATCTAAACAAAACAATACAAAACATGCACTTCTAGTCACAACAACACAGAAAACTGACTGAAGTCTGAAATATTTAGAGAAATCAGAAAGCAAGTAGCGAACCACAGACGAAAACTGTATCCTTTGTCAAATACAACTGTCAAAAGCAAAACAGATTAAAAACATTTATGTTACAGAAACATACATTCCAAAATCTTAACATTCTCTTAATAATTATTAGTGCTATCATTACTAATAATAATTGTTTAAAATGTTTAGTATTTCTAATAGCATTTAATGAAAAGGACATATAATACTCAAGTTTAAAAAAAATAACCGATGATACTATATTAATATCGATAATACGAATACAAGCACACAGGAAGGCACCACACTATTACGTGATATCTTATATTAATTAAATTCTCATGATATAGGTAAAAATACTAAAAAATATTGATATCCTATAGTTGTAACTACACATAATGAACAGTAATTAATATATAATTCTCATATTTTCTTGGTTAATATTTTAAAGGTTCAACTTAATATTGACAATGTTTTCAATTCATCCATGTCTTATCATTACCTATATAAATTAGGTAATAATATAACATGAACGCGTATTTATTAAATTACTAACTAAATTATTTACGTTTATCATCCTCTATATTTATAACATAATACTGCGAAAATAAATTAATATAACAAAAAAAACATGTGGCACTCGGGGACTGCCGCGGTAAAGCTATTGCATAGCACTTTTTATCAGCTTATGCAATTATAATTATTTATTTATTTTTTATTTATGCAGTATTTTTTTCATTCTTGCAGAATTTATTTATATTATACTTAAAGTTACAAAAAAATCGGTTTTCACAAAAATTATCGAACCATTGCCACTTCACTAAATGCCAAATTCCAAAAGCGAAAGCGAAAATGCCAAAATGGCTGAATAAAGTAAATGCTCTATGTTTAATATAAAGTTTTTTCTGTACAGTAATAACTATTAGGCTAAACACGATTAGCATCGAGTATTAATAAACATTTGGTTAATGTTTTTATAAGGAGTGTGTAATTATTAATAATCTTTTGGTACTCAAATCATTTCAAAATGAATGAAACTAATAGTGAAGCACTTGCTGACTCCGAGAAGCCGGTTCAAGTATCAGATAATGTGCCGTTCCCGCCTTTCCCGGGTGAGGAAATTGTATTATCTTATTCAGTAATAGTACATTTAAATACTGTAAAAAAACACATACTGATATCTAATTTCAGTAATTGCATATTTGACAATTTGTGTACAGTAGTTACAGTTGTTATTACTCAAATAACAAAAAATTATCGGATTTAATAGTAATTTATCCTAATATTTTCATTCATTATTTACAGCTCCAGCAGATGATGACTTTGAAGAAGATATATCTAAAGATGAGAGATCATACTATATAACAAAATTTAAGGGTAATTTATAAGTTTTATTTAGTGTTAATAAATGTAAAAACATAGGAAATAAATTGTATTTGTTTCAGATCTTAACACAATTATTCACATGAAAGTTCACTGTACTGCTTGTGACCGACATATAGGGATTTGTCCCAAAAATGAAAGTAATATGAAAACACATCCTATGTTACGTACATTAATGTGCCAGAATTGTTATTCATTTTATAACAGTGGAGAGTTCGAAAAGGGTGATGATGGCTCCGAACTATATTGTCGCTGGTGTGGACAAGGCGGTCAAGTGTACTGCTGCTCAGATTGCCCACATGTATTTTGTGCGGTGAGAATTCCATTATATTAATTGAAGAAAATTTTATAGTAGTCTTAAATTACTCTTTTAGCACTAAATACTTATTTGTTTTTTTTTCCTAGAAATGCATAAAAAGAAATATGGGCCCAGCTAAAATCAGAGAGATTGAGGAAGTAGATGATTGGAAATGTTTTAAATGTAATAGCACCTGTTTGAGAGATTTGCGTGCAATTTGTTGGGCAGCATTGCGCTACTGTGACTTTAAAAACAGGTAACTGACTTGAAAAGATGAAATGTTTATAAAAAACTTATAAGCCTGAATTTTATTTGTAATAAAAATAAATGCTTAGGATAATTGAAGGCCTAGTAATGTAATAAATGTATTTAGACAATTATCTTTCTGACCATCTGACCCGAAATATTATTGACTTAGATTTTTAAAGATACATAGTGGACTTTAAATTAATAAACAGCAACGGAAACAGATTAATAATCAGTACACTAGAATTGTAACTGTAACTAATTTTGAGCTAAATGGTGAAAGTAATCAGAATAACTAGTAACCAACTAATACTTTCAGAATGGCTTATAAAACTGAAGATTCCAAGCTCAAGGAATCATATTTAAAAGAAATATCGGAAGATGTTTCTGAGTGCTGTAGGTCTAAATATAGAAGGAAGGAAAGGTTGGAGGCTAAGAAGAAAGAAGCTGAAGCCAAAAAAGCTGCTGTTGCAGTTGTATCTAAGCTTCCTCCTACAATAATGGTAATTTTATTTTTAATTAAATTAAACTCCACATTTTGCATTGTCAATTATAGTATTTTTTGTTCATTTACAATTGCATCATTTATTGCATTCTAGATGCTTCAATAAGATACATCATTAATAATTAATTGTAATGTGTTATACAAGGGGACACAATCAGTAATTATTTTTAAAATTAAATAGAAAATTGCAACATTTCAATAGAATATTTGTCAACTTGTTGTTGCTATCAATATTTAATCATAGGAATTCTATTTAAATGTACTACTCATGTAAACCAAAGACAATATTATTTATCAGATAAATAAGGTTCTTAAAAAACATTACTCTATTACTTTTTTTTGTTTGTGTTGCCATTAAGAAATTTTAGTGTTGCTACTAAGAACACTCTTTACTCAGGTTAAAGCATTTAAATCCTGGCTGGCTGTGTAGGCAAAAATCGTGAGGAATTTAACATTTCATAGACGATATAATTTGCATATAATTGGATACTTATGGGGCTGAATACCTGTGTCAATTTTCTTTGGTCACCCCAGCTTAGAATTTCCGGGATCACTAGACCATTGGGTGGATCTGGTCCAGCTGCCTCATCAGTACAATGTCTTTCAAACTGATGCTATTAAACTTATAAAAATGTAATAAAAGTTGTATTCATTGTAATTTTATCCTTAGGTGAAGAAATTTGCTTCAATTAATTCTGATGATGTGAACAAGCCCGAACTTAAGAAGGCTCAAAAAAGGTCGGCGAGTCCCAAAATGAAACCAAATATAATTTTGAAAAATCCTATTAGTGTGTCACCAAAGGTGACTAATACCTTTCACGTTGCACCTATGAAGAAAGTAAGGGTAAGTTCTCGTATCTCAAGAATGATCAGATTTTATTTAAACCAGTTATGTGTGAACTCCCACAAAAAAGATGTTTTTCTGTGTCTGTTTTTATGGATAAAGTTGCCTTATTTGCAAGAGAGCCTATGTTGCCTGATACAAAGAGTTGAACCGATAAGGCAATTTTTATCTCACCTGTTTTTACAGCCTGCATGGTCACGATCAATCATGGTAAGTTCAGCCATGACAATCACGCAAATAGCGAGTTATTTAAATTTGAACTTTATTTTAAACTGGTTTATGGCTGTCTACTTTGATTTGAATGCTCACAAATTTGATTATTTCTAGTTGGAAGATAATCAAATATCCCTTATTTTCGTACTAATTGATGTGAAACACTTTTTCTTTTTCCCTTTGATTTTTATATTAATTTTTTAATAGTCCTGATCAGTGTTTACATGTTTTAATTGCTTTGTTTTGTTTCATTAGTTTTGTCTAAACAACTGTATGACATAGTTATTACCTAATTTAATTTCTTTTTTTTCTCACAGTATTTGCCTGGAAGACATCGCTCAAAAGCGATAAGGCCAGTCATTCTTTATTTAATCCTTTCATTTAATTATATATATAGTCAATTGTATTATATTTCCATATGCAAAGTGTTTATATATAAATATAGGGTCACTCTTTTTTGTAATAATAAGTGTGATTATTTATTAATTATGATATTGATAAGTTTTACTCTGATAAAAATTTATGTCACAAAATGTTTTGTGTGATTTTGGCTTTTACAATATCATAAACAACTCATGAGCTTCGAGTACCTCTATTGATGGAATCACGTGTAGTGTATAATTACACTCGGTATTAGCTATAAAGAATAATAAATATTTTAACATTATTTAATAGTCTAAAAACCAAAAAGGGAGCGTTCAAGTATTACGTAACGAATTTTGGGGGGGGGGGTCCGTTTAACGTTAAGATGCGGGGCGGGGATTGCATTACGCGTTATTGTTTATATTATTTTCTACTTTCCAGTACTTTTCACCACATAATGGTAACTTTTGAGTATAAGGAGTCACTAGGTGGTCACGAAACTTATTATACTTGGGTACAGTATACATTGCATTACATGTGGGAGGGGGGTCAATAATCTCCAAAAACTGCGCGACGTAATACTTGAATGCTCCCAAACACATTTTTAATTTATTACAGCTGCCGTCAAACATGATGAACCCAATAAGAATACTAAATGAGAGAAAACCAGTACCCCAAAATACATTAATAAAGATAAGACCGAAAGGCAATTTTCAAAACAATATGTTCAACGGGATCAGTACAAGCACACCATTTAGCAATGTTATGTTTAATAATGATAATATTAATTTATCACTGGACAGTCTCACCCAGGTAAGGGCATATTATGTAGATGTAATAAGCTAGAGCAATCTAATATATAAAATTCTCGTATCGCGGCGTTTGTAGTTAAACTCCTCCGAAACGGCTTGACCGATTCTCATGAAATTTTGTGTGCATATTGGGTATGTCTGAGAATCGGACAACATCCCCCTAAATGTTAAGGGTAGTCCACCCCTAAATTATTTTGTTTTAATTTTTAGATATTTTTTTTGTTTTTTTATGATACAGCATTAAAAAATACATACAACCCCTAATTTTCACCCCTCTACGATCAACCCCTATTTTTTATTATAAATGATATACATGGTGAAACGATTTAACGGCAACTCTTTGTAACGTTTAAATAGACACACTCCCTTGAATGTCGTTATATAGACTACACTGTATTTTAAAATTGATATGGGCATAGTTTTTCTTCCCTTTAAAAGTTCTGTGAGCAGCCGGTTTCCTCAACGGAAATGTGGTCAGGCGCAAAAGGCTTCTTATAATATATTTGTTAAAGGTCAAAAAGGCTTGGTTTATTCAACAGAAAGCTATGACTCTGTGGGTCTACTTTAGGTCCCGAACATAAATTAATTTTTTGGGTCTTGCAAAATGTTATATTATTAAGCTTAAATATTTACGAGTCTTGGTATACAACATGATGTATATGAAAGTAGTCTTAAATCCTTGAGAAGAGCAGAGTTGGCCCAGTAGCTTGTGTGTGACTCTCATACCTGAAGTTGTAGGTTCGCGTACGGTGAAGGCGAACATTGTGAGGAAACCGGAATGCCTTAGACCCAAAAATTCGACGGCCTATGTCAGGCATAGGAGGCTGATCACCTACTTGCCTATTTGATTGATTAAATGATCATGAATTAGATACATATAATAACGCATTTAGGGTGTTGTAACGCAGTAACGCTGGGGCTGCCTCGCTTCTGCAGTGCATCAAGAATGTTTGCAGAGGCGCGGGTGGATTGCTTTTTCGCCACTATGCGAAAGCGGTGCGCGTCTTTGGTGCGCCGGGTGCGGGGCAGCTCCAGCAACATCTTACGGATGATAGTCGAAAGAATGGAGTGCCCCTATTTACGACACTGCTCCGACATCTCCGCAGGGCTTTGTACCTGATAGTTTTTATTTCACTACTTTTTCCTTATTTTTACTAATTTTCTAACATAGATCTTAAGAAACTATTGTTACTAACTCACTAATCAATCAATGGACTGCATTTGTCTGATTAATAAAAATTATTATTATTATTATAAATCTGAGGACCAGATATTTTAAATTAAAAAAAACAAATGAAAACAAAACAGTTTTTTTAAACAGATACATACGCTTAAAGCTCAGAACTAAAAAGGTTGTACTGGTTTTCTTATTTTCTTTAATTGAGATATAGGATTAATTTAATTTTTTTATTAGATTAATTTTTTGTATGGTTGTTTCTTCTGACTCGTAAAGGAAAATTACTTGATCAAGTTTTTGCCAATGAAACCTTTTTAGTTACAAAATGGCTTTAATGTAGTGGTTATAAAATGTAAATAATTTTTAGGGCCTAGATATGTCTTCTATACAAAACATGAGTGGTGCATCTCAGGACGAGTTAGTATGCACTCCGGACTTCCCCATGGAGCCATTATGCGAGGTACATTCTTACCTTAGATATATTTCTTTAATCAGACTTTCCCTCAATCATTATTAAAAGTTTAGCAGCCCTTACTAAACCACATTCTGTCTCTTTTTCTCTGTGATGACACAAGACATGTACTTAAGGTAAAAGTTTTTAAAGGGAACAGGTATTGCTTAAAGATCTTTTCTATCATCAAACAAATAGTATCTTTACTTAGATATTTTGATTTGGTAGCCAAATTTAATGTTACACTTGGAATTATAGGTGACAGAGGATAACACGGATGATGATGTGCAGTGCATAACACCAGGTCCCGTGACACCGAAGACATTGTCCACACAAAAGCCTATCGCTCTCTCCGACGTGTTACCCGAAAATATCATACAAATGACTGAAAACGACGTTACCGTGAATTCTGTCACCGGTGGTCTTAAATTCCGCGTGGACCCTCAAACCTTATCTTCCAATAAGATGTATCGACTTCCCGACGGTAGAATATTTGCAATTAATGCCAATCCCACCATGCCCGGCGGTTATTCGGCTACGATAGTAGCGATAACTGAAACAAACCGACCCAAAACTAATTCATCTAATAAATCCAGCCGTGGGACGCCACCACCGCTAAGAATAATAAAAAACAATCCAGCAAATCGCAAAAAAGTGTCAAAACACAAATCTCCAAAGGCCCGTCGTTCTGACACGACACAAAGGGAAGCTGACCTGTCAGTACCCGTTGAATGGTACAGATATAATTTGATTGACGCTATAGACGCACTCGAGTACTCATTGACACGATTACATAAATTGAAAAAGGAAGCCAACACGTCCTTCTTACGAACGAGGACTGTCAATGAAATGCGGAATTTACACAGAAGTTTTGACACCCTATTAAATACCTCGTCGCATCGGTTCAAGGAGATTCGTGATACTCTTACTAAAGGATTTAAACAATACTTGATAAAGAAATGTCAAGAAAATAGCGAAGAGGAAGATGACGATGACGTCGAAATACTACCCGATTTAGACGAAGACCCCATTTGTATTGATGAAAATTCGCTAGATTCCTTCTGCAACGAGACCCAAGAAGTCGACTTGACAGAGGGTGGAAGCGAACATAACGATAGTAGAGAGAAAGCTGCACATTTGGCTTCTATAACACAAGAGATACATGAAAATGACATAAAAGAAATTATCAGTGAAAAGATCGAAGAAGTCGATACATCTAAAGACATTGCAAGTGATGCTAAATTGAACGGAGAAAAAAGTGCAGTACTGAAAAGTCAACGTAATATCTCAATCCAAATCCTCACCGACCCACTATCAAATAAAGACAAAGATTTTGCGGTGACCAATTCGACTAATAGTAAGCAAGCTGAAGATAAAAATGAAAAAGTTGACGAAAAGGTGGTTGAAAATAAAAACAAAAGTATTATAGAAGATACTCCGAAAGATAAAGAAGATATTGTTGATAGCGAAGTAACAAAAACAGTTAAAACTAACGTAAAGGAAGAAAAAGTTACCAATGGTAATAATGAAGATATTGATGCAAGTGATAATACAATAGATGATTTGTTGAATGAAGCAGAGACAAAGGAAGCAAGTAAAGAAAGTGTTATGGACATTTCTGATGATGTAAAGGAATCTTAATGCACAACAGATCACTAAAGTGATAATATAGTTGACCGTTTTATACAAAGAGACGCCTTAGTTAAATACAAAAACTAAATCCTAACTAACATAAATGTAGTACATGATAAGTAAGTGAAGTATTTTCCAGTTTATTTCCAGTTTTTTTTAAGCTAATTCGGTGTAAAATACCTGATATAAAAACCTAGTAAAATATATATTTTTTTTAATCTGAGTTTAGTGCTGTGCTTATGGAGGGTAGTCACAAATATTTAAACAGAGGGTAAAATTCATTGTGTTCTTACGTTTGAGCGATTTTAATAAAATTGAAGGATCAGTTAGTGTATTTTTTTATCAGCCGATATTACCATTTATAGTGAGATAGTATTGATGCCTGGTCCGACAAATGGGGAATACTAGTTCCACAATTATACAAAATACTTTAAAGATTAGACATTCTTTATACAAAAATGCTGAGAGATTATTCCTAATATTGGCGGTCATATTATAAGAGTGGTTCTATTGCAGCCATTCTGTACAATTTCATTTGTATGTGTAAATTCTTTAATGTTCCTTTAGGGCAATAGAAACATAAGAAACTCATATTTGTATTCGTTTTCGTGAATAAATAGGATTGAAGTGTCGCTAGTTGAAAGCGTGATCGTATTTCATTGATTTCGTACGTATGAATAGAAATGGACACAAAGCGACACAGTAAGGTACTAACAATAATTAAGGCTCTTTGGTGGAAAGTGCCAAATTCAATGAAGTAAAGAGACTGGTTCTAAAAAAAAATTGACGAAACCTTCCAATCATTTTTGCCGTGGTTCTAGTGGTGGTTGGAATAACGTTAATATTGTAAAAAGTGTAAACGTGAAATATTTACACATACTTGTGTTTCTAGTATTTGTTATGTTATTACAAAATTTTATGCTTAAAGTTTGTGTATAATATTTTGTTTAGACACCTCCACTTTAAGATTAAAAGGAATGTTAATGGGACGTAGGAATTGTAAATATATTTTGATATAATTTAGAATAAGTAATATATAATTTGTACTCCTAATTCAACTATTTCATTTTATAACCTCTTTTTGTGTAAGGCTTCGAGACTGCGTAGTATGACGTAATTGAAAAGCGTATTGGATTCCCACTAATAGTTTTAGTTAATTCGAGACTGATTATACTGTCAACTGTCAAATACAGTGTCAGTTTTTGACAATTGACAGTATAATTTCTTAATTTTGTTTCATCATTTGAGGTATTTTGTGACGATATATTTTTTTTTGTATTTGCAGAGTCTATATGACTATTATTATCAATTTATTACTTTGCTTTGTCATAATTACAAGTATATACCTTTGCAATTCGCTCTCATACAGACTGACTGACCTTATGGGCATTCTAGTACATAAGGGTCCTCTAATACAATTTTTATATAATTCCATATGCTAACGTCAGTTAGTAAGGTTTTGTTACTGACGAGACTATACAATTTTGATGTATAAAAAGCGAAGTGCAGATGTACCAGTCACTATTGAAAATTAAATAGTTTTCGCTACACGTATAATTTGTGTCAAATCAAAATTGTTTGAATTTCGACATTGACTTTATGTCAAGAAAGAAAGCAGTAAAAGGTTTTTTATTTTCTTCTCATTTTGTTTTAATTTTGATAGTATATAT